TTTTTATTTTTTTTTTTTTTTTTTTGCCTTTCTTAAAATGCACTTTTGAGTTTTGACTTTGTGTATATAAATCCCCATATTTCCAAATGAATCCCAAAATCAACGATTCTGTTCTGTGTGTTCTTCTCCCTATGATGATGGCAGAGAGAAAGAAGAACGATGAAGATCAGGAGGGAGGAATTAAGCTGTTTGGGGCCACTATTATGTTGCATAACAACCGGATACTTAAAGAAGAGCCCAACGATTCAGATCAACAATCGCCAGAAAAAAGGCCTGACAAGATCATCCCCTGTCCAAGATGCAAAAGCATGGACACCAAATTTTGTTACTTCAATAATTACAATGTTAATCAACCACGCCATTTCTGTAAGGGCTGCCAGAGGTACTGGACCGCCGGTGGGGCCCTCCGTAATGTCCCTGTTGGAGCCGGCCGCCGAAAAACCAAACCCCCTTGCCAGACCTTTGGTGGGTTGCCGGAAAATTGCGTCTTTGATTCTTCAGGGATCGTGGCGGTGCAGCCGTTTGAGTTGGAAGGGATGGTTGAGGAGTGGCATGTCGTCGCTGCAGCTGCACATGATGGGTTCCGGCAAATTTTACCGGTAAAGCGACGGAGGGGTTACCAAGACGGTCAAATCTGTTGATTATTCTTCCCCTGTTTCTTTTTTTGTTTTTTGTTTTAAGAATTTCGATGTGATTGAGGGGGAAAAATGGAAAAAGAAACGTGTTTTGATGGTGTTAGTTTTGTACAAATAATACAGACTTTGTTTAAACAACTCTGGGAGGAAAAATATGATGCCTAATTTTTTATTTTGGTGGTGAATGGAGCTCGGGTATCTAAACATGTTAAAAGAACTCATATTGGTTCCCCAATTTTGATAACGAGGAACCGATCTTCACCATAACCAAAGGTAAAGAGGGAGAAGGCACAAACAATTTCTTCTTCCTTTTTTCTTTCCCCAAATCCGAGGTTTAGTTAATTCCGAGGGCTTTTCACAAACATTATTAGAGAATCAATGTTTCAGTTCTTATAGGAAGTGAGGGAACATGTTTTGTGGGAATTTGTTTCGGTTTCATATTCAACAATGGTGTTTCTTTTTGCCCCTACTTTTATCTTCGTTTTCTTTCTTTCTGACTTGTACCAGCTTAAGGGTCTAGTTTGAGGTCTGCATCAATTTCGTTCGTGTGTATAAATATTTAGAATTTTATTCGACACAATATTAAAAGTGTTAGATTCCACATCGATTGGAGAGAAAAACAACGAAATATTCCTTTGAAGGATGTAGAAAACTCTAGTAGACATGTTTTAAAACCGTGAGACTGACAGCAATACGTAATGAATCAAAGTGGACAGTATTTGATAGCGGTGGACTTAGGTCGTTTACAAATGATATCAAAGCTATGCACTAAACAATGTGCTAGCGACAACGTTGGATCCATAAGGGAAGTGGATTGTGAGATCTCACATCGGTTAGAAAGGGGAACAGAGCATTCATTATAACGTTTCTACCTAGCAAATGCGTTTTAAAACCATGAGACTGACGCTTATAAGGGTGCGGAAACCTCTTCCTAGTAGGGATATTTTAAAACCGTGAGGTTGACAACGATATAGGTCATAATAGACATATCTATTGCAGTGAGCTTAGGCTCTTACAAAAAGTAGGATAAACCATCGAACACATTTTAATTACTACAAAAAAAAAAAGGAAAAAAAAAAAAAAAACTATGTTTGCAAAGATATCAAAAAAGAAAAAAAAAAAAAAAAATCCTACCCACAATGATCTCTTCGACCCTCGAAAATCAAAATAATTTTTAAATTCAAGATAAACATTCATATCTTAGAATGGACATTGCCTTGAATATGTACATTAAAATTTAAAAAGAAACATCCTGGTAGCCTGGTGATTACTTCTTGACCTATGCGTGAATACTTCAGCCAATTGACTAACGTGCAAGAGTACTGAGATAGCTGCCTAATCCTATTTAATATTTTCAATATTAGAAGTCAAAACAACTTGGAAGAAGAACAGATTCTTCGTCGCTACAATGAATAGACCAATTATCAAGAAACATGACCATAGCAACTCCTACTTGATAGCTAATCATCTACTTGGTTGATCAATGTCGCTTTTTATTCAGCATCATTTATTGTAGTAAATGTATAGAACTAATTAGCCTTAATTTCTCCTTGATTAAGCTTTTTACATGTGACAAGCTTACATCCAATCTATAATATACTTAACTATGACAATACAAATAATCTGTGATATTCTCTCATCTTTGCAACCTGCTGATTCTTCAGCGTGGTTAAATTCTACTGCATAGAGATAAGGCTTACTGCTATAAGCTAGCCACCGGGGCAATTGAAGACGGTTCTTGTTGCTTGAGGGTGTCTGCAACATGAGCCACCACGCCAGCACCAGCATTGTAAAGCCATTCGTTTTTCACCTGAATTCATTATACATTTCATATAAGAAACAGAAGCAGAAGAAACAGCACGAAACAGCTTGAAATAGAGCGATCAGAGACGAACGTGGATGTTGTTATGTGCAAAGAATGGCCAGAATGAGGAATGAAAGCTGACATCAACTTTTATCCATCCCAACTGCTGCAAGCCACGAATCATCTCCTCTGGAAAGAAAATGTGGCATTGAGCAAGGAAGCAATCATCTAATAATCACCACGTTTAAACTCCTACTGGAGTTGGGGTTTCATACCTTCCATGATTTCATGATAATCCACCGTGTTGTGTGTGGTTGGTGATTTTTGGGCTGCCTCCTTTGCTGGAGCTGCTTCAGGGGGGAAATGGGGACCAGCGGAGGAAACAGGAGGACAGTATTCTACGTCTACAACATGCTTGTAACCAACCAATGATCGGCGAGGGGGCTTCCAAGAATTATACAAGATGTCAGAATGATAATGTACATTGCTCCTAACTAGATCATGTGCATATATACACACACACACATACAGACATTCAAGAAGGAATTCCCTAGTGTCCACGACTCAATAATATCTATTCTCAACCCAATCTCCTTCAAGATTTCTCATCTCTCTATGTTCTTATGATTAGAAATGCTTTCAATGATGATAAAATGGAAACATTCGAAAATCAAGTGGCTCGTCACCTTGATAAGTTCATTTTCTCTCCTTATAGATGAAGTGCGCCAACCAACCATATCTATTCAGTGTTTAAAAGAGAGAATGGTTAATGAGCCAAATAAGAAAGGGTCAACAAAATAACAGTAAAAAGAAAAAGGTATAAGGCATGCAGTGGATACGATCATAAGCTACATTGGCATAAAGAACGCGGGATCGAAAAGCACCAAGCGCAGATCTGCAAAGCGGAAAAAAGCAACAGAGTGACCATTTTGTGACATCGCCCAACAAAAAACAGGGCGCATACAAGGGGCCTCCACAAACTGTACAAAGAGTCTAACTTACATGAATTTCTCTTTATCACTAGCGGATGCCATTCTTAATAGAAGAGGTGGTTTATCAGGTTTTCCATCGGTAAGGAATAGCTGACTACCCGTTCGGCCTACAACGATAGGGGCTATTGGTGGAGCCAGTTTCTCTAGGAAGGGAACTCCCAGAAGAAAAGGAAGCTAAGAAAAAGAAAATTAACTTAGTGTCAGTCAAGTATCGAATTATAAATCTAACTTCAACTGTTAAAGGTCTTGTGATAAACAATAATACTCCAAAACACCAACCTGCTTTTTACCTCTCACTCCCAAATGAGGAGTTGCCAAGGTGATGAAACTGATTGGCTCTAGTCCTGCAATCACACTTTTTTTTGAAGAACTGCAAGGATCGTTTGGTATGCTACTAGACAATGAATCTAAGTTATTGTAGAGTACAGCAATAGCATATCTCGCAAACAAACCACCAAGTGAATGAGCCAAAAAAGAAATCCTTTTTAAGCTCTCTGTTTGTTGTACCACTTGCAAGACCTGATTGCCATACAGATCATTGTTGAGTATTAATGAAATTACATGTACCTTTCAATGAGCTAGAAACTGTTTCAAGAAATACACATCAGAATGGATTACAGCCTACCTCATCAGCTAATCGTTTGCCCGCCCCATCAATTCCAGTGAAAGTTTTAGTAAAAGTATTTGACGAACTTGCTGCAGATAAATGAAGGTAACTGAAATATAAGATAAGCATCAACTGTTCACTAACTGGTTACTTATTGATGTGCCTATTTAGAAGCCTAATTCATTATACACACATCAGTTTTTTGGGAATAATAAAGTTATAGAAAAACAGTAACGATAATTCCCAAAATTCTGAGCTTTCCTAACATCTCGAGGAAATCCACATCCATCTATTACTTGCTAACAACAATTCCAAAGTCATAAATTAAACGCTCATGTTGATGCACCTGAATTTTGAAAACATTATACCACGTACATGCTTATAATACATTGGATGGTGACATCCACCAGTAGAAAAAAGAACTTACCATATATCAAAAAGTTTCTTCCAAGACGCCTTTTTAATTCTGCTTCAAAGTAATTCCAATCACTTGGGCTGCATAAGAAACGCATTAATCAAAACGGGGGTGGGGGAAGCTTCTAGCGGATAAATCTTGATAGAAAATAAGAAATATGATTCCCTTTTAATCTTGTTTTTTTTTTTTTTTTTTTAATTTTCTTACTATCTAATCTTGGTTGTTTAATCAATGGATACCTAGCCATGATGCCATGAACAAGAACAAGAAGATGATCAGGCTTGTTTTTCACATTCCCTATGCTACTTGATGATGACAATGTTCCCTGGGTTAAAGTACTCATGGCTTGAGGTCCAAGGTCAGGTAATCTCCAACTGTGATTCGAGTCTGAAATTCATAAGATTTGCTGATGTCCATCAATGACATGTAAAAGAGAAAAGTATGTAACCAGCTCAAACCAAATGAAAAAAGGAAATCTAGCATCCAAAACTAATAATTAAGCACAGATAAAGTTCAGACAAATTCAAACTGCTGTAGATTACAGACTTCGAGCTCATTGGAGGCAGGAATAACCGAATAAGTAATATTATTGATTCTGAAACTGTAATCAAAATTGTAGCAGTGCCTTCCTAAAAAGGAAGTTTCAAATGTGGTGTAGCCTAGAATTAACGGTTTTTAAGGAACTATTAGCAAGTAGAAATAAGTCTATATGACTATCGAAGTCACAGCACTGCATTTATATTCTTGATAGAAATAAAACCTTCATTTTCTCATCGATGAATACGAAATGTACGGAGAAACTACAAAACATGAGCTTATATATTGATTGCATATCTAATTTCATAGATCATCATACAAACACATACGTTCCCATGGAAAGAAAGAGGCATTTCTCCTCATCCACCAGGTTTGCATTATCTCCTTGCCATCGACAATCCTATTTTACTTTATCTTTGGAAAGTATAGTTTCGTAACCAGAATCCATGATTAGGTACAGAAGAGTGATAGTCCAGATCGAAGAGTTGGCGAATTTATAGGGTATATGAAATTTGGAAAAATCGATATCCAGGCGAAACCAGAAAACCCATTCAGATTGCTGCCATCTTCACGATTAGAAAAAATCGCGAAGAAAAAACAAAAACAAAAACAAAACAAAACAAAACCCAATTCCCTTGTTCCCTTCACAAACTCATGAATCAAAAGAAAAATAGCGAAGAAGGAGAAGGGCAGAAGTACCAGAGAAGGGAGTGGAGGAGGAGGAGGAGGCGGCGGCGGAAGAGGAAGAAGAAATCGACGACGTCCCTACAGGTCCATGAGAAGAATTGGTTCTTTGAGTGCCAAAAAAGGGGTTGAAGCAGCAACAGCGCGCGTGAATGAAAGGCGCCAATGCCATATATTTATTACACGAGAAAGAGAGAGAGAATTAGGAGGCAGAAGGAGAGGTGTCCGAATGGAGTCAAGAAGAAGCCATAACGTTCCTTATCCTCTTCGATGATGAAGGCAAAAGCCCATACGGCCATAGGCGGAAAGAGAAAGCTGTGAAAAAATCTGTGCTGAATCAGTCGCTGTTCTTGGGCGGACCTCGACCTCCATTGGCTATGGTCAAAAACAACCTCCACACCTCTAAATCATTTCTAATGGAAACAACATAAATCTACCATCCTTCAACTTACCTCATTCTTCTTTGTCTCCTCCTTAAAAATGGTCGGATTAATTTCGATTCTTAACTTCTTTATTAATTTTTTATTCAATATAAATTTGAAATTAAATTTCAATTCAACTTAATTATTTCAAGATAGACTTCTCATATTTTTTTTCAACCAATCAAAATTATTTAATTTCCAAAATTCAAAATATTATTAGCAATCGACCAATGAGAATTCAGAACCAATGTCCTTTTCAGGAGCCGCTGTCTCAACGTACACCTCACCATTTCTACTCCCCTTCATAATATTTGCTTCATCTTTCTTTTTTTCTAAATTTTTATGTTATATTTATTTTTCAATGCATTTTAAAAAATAAAAAATAGTACTTTTTAATTAGGTTCGGGATAAATCTAGAAACATTAATAAAGTATTTGGAGAATATTAAAATACGCATTTCTGGCTCACTTACACATATTTGTACATATATATATCACAGCGAGTACAAAAGAAGCTAAATTATAAATAAAATAACTTTCAAAGTAATTAATTAAAAAAAAAATTAAGTACATTATTCAAAACATACACAAACTTGCATTACATAATAGCACAAGAATGCGGATTCTCATCACTGAACATGGCACCAGCTTCTTCATCAATCGTTGAAAAGGGTGGCTCTTGATGATAGCAGTAGTCGTCAGCATCGCTGCCGCTGTAGTTGTAGCTATTATACTCATGGATGGGACTCATATTGTGCTTGTGAAAGGAAGAAGAAGACAGTGAATTGTAGGTGATGATTGGCTTAGTTTGAGGCTGAGGCTGAGGCTGAGGCTGGTGGTGATGCTGAGGAGAGTTGAGGTAATGCTGGTAGTGGTAGATGAAACCATGGTACTGGGGGTTGTAAGGGTATGGCCACAGCTCTGCCGTCCGCCCATTCCGCCGCGCTGCTTTCAGAATCTTCTTTTGCTTTGCCCACCCCATCACAGTCACCTTCTGCATGCTTAAATCTATTACCACATCATCCACACCTGCTCATCATAACCAAATAACAATTTTACTACATCCACACCTGATCATCATAACCAAATAACAATTTTACTACATCCACACCTGATCATCATAACCAAATAACAATTTTACTACTTTCTCCACAAAGAACTTCAAGATATTGATATTTTGATATGCTTTCAATGCTATAGTTCAGAATTACACCATTAGTGAAGTAGCGATTCAGTCTCTAAACCTTTTCTTTTTTGTAACGATTTATTCTTTGTACAATCAAATAACTTCTCTGTGTCTGGCTTACCTGGTAGACTTTCCAGAGCTTTTCTTACTTGTTTTTCACATCCCGTACAGTCCATGTGAACTCTCATCTCTGTTACCTGGTATCAGTTGAAAGAACAAAAATCCAAACATGTCATTCATATAGTTTATATGAAGTAAAAAGAGGGGGAAAAGAACACTAATTAAATAAAAATAAAAATAAAAAGTTTCATTTTCAATGCCCTTCACGTTTGCCGGTTCATCATTTTGTAAGAATCAAGATGTGTTTGAAAAGTCATTGATATATGGGTCCCTGCTTATAGATCATGTTTCATCTTTATGCATAAAATGAGGAATTAACTAGTTTTTTAAACATAATGCATATAGGGCCTTAAATAAAAATGTTTAATGCTAAAAATAATAATCTGAACTAAATGATAACGTGTAGAACACTTAGTCTAATCCATCATCGTTGGAAACTCATGAGAATTAAAAATAAATAAAGTCGAGGAATTTTTCATCGACTTGCATATAATATAACTAATTGCATTAGGAAAAAAAAACTAAAAAAATGACACCTTAAAGATAAACATTGACTTGTATTTACTACTGATGTGTGAGTCCAAAATAATTTGTTAATTAGAAGGTACCCACATCATTGATTGGTACAGAAACCAGAAATCCGATATATCTCTCTTTAAAGCAAGAATAACAGTTCTTTATAAAATATTGAGAAATACACATATACAAGGAAAGGTCATTTTTAACACCAATAAAATATCAAAAAGTAACCTCTACTTTTTCCTAATAGCTTAAATCCTCTTTTGAAGTTAGTTTCAATTATACTCCTAAGTTTAAAAGAACTCTTGAAGTTTGAAGTTAGTTTCATAACAATTCTTAGTAAATTTATTTTTCATTAGATCCATAGGCAGAAAGTTCAATCTTTTATGTGAATAAATAAAAATAAAAATAAAAGCACATAACATTTGTTAACCATGGATCTCAATTTCAAGCCTCCTACAATTCCTTGTCTTTCCATTTACGATTTTTTCTGAACTCTATCCTCCAAATTTATTTTCTGACTCAAACTTTGATCCACGAATCAGAACGACAAAAACTTGGAAGAGTTGTTTCGAAACAAACTCAAACTTTTCAAAAATTAAGAATCATAATTGAGGATAATTTTGATAGTTTAAACTTCCTAACATAATTATTTTGTTTTCATTTTTTTAAATATATTATTCTGTTCATACCTTCCCCCCCTGAATAGACCACGAGAAAAGGATTTGGGGGCTTTTTCCTAATAAAGTGGTTGGTTGATATATTATTGTTTTTAATTTTAATTTTTTTATATTAATCTATTCTTACTTTCTCACAAGAACGAACCTCACTGAATACCGTGAGGCTCGTTTAAGGAAAAGGATTTTGAATGCCATAGTATCAAAAACCTAAATAACAGCTACAGCTTTGTTCCAGTTGAAACTTTTGTGCTGAACGATGCTGACAAGAAAAGGCTGGAGAGTGGTTTTCCCACAAAACTTAAACGTGTTTTAATAAACTAAGAATTACTCAAAAGGAGAACAGCCAAACTAGAGCGGAACTCTGTTTCAGAAAATAAAAACGTGCACGAATCCAAATGGAAATGTAAAGTGAACAACATGGCCTGCCTAAGATTAATTCTTAGCCTAAAAATTTGATTTCTTTGTCTAGTAAAAGAAAAAAAAACAACCAAACCAACACAAACCCCAAAGCTTCGGACAACTCCAAATTTAAAAATATGATAAAAATTGAAATACTTTTAGAGTTTCTCTCCTATATTTAATGATACAAAATTATCAGTCACACTCGATCAGTCTCCTCAAATATTTTATCGTTCAAAATATAAACAGACATCTTCTTGTGATACTGTAAATGAAACTTCACTGGGCAGACAGATATAGACCAGAAAGTGAAAGATACTAAATTAACAACATAGTTATAAAAAAAACTGCATGAAAAGCTATAAACTCAAAAGAAGTCTTCCACGAAAGAGAGAGAGAGACTTACAGTCATGTCTGTATAGCAATTGAAGAGGGTCCTGAAGAAGCTTTTCTCCGAACAGAACAAGTGTACAAGGAAGCTGAAGGGAAGCAACAGTCAATTTATACGCATTACAACAAGCCTCCCTCTTTATGTCTCTATGGAACATTGGTAGAAAATACAAGGCAGTTACTTAAAACTGTTGCCATGGTCAACACCTGCAAATGCATAAGAAAATCATTTGTCAAAGACTTCGTAATTCACAAGTCTTCGCTAATCGCTAGAGAAGTTTTAAATCTAATTTCAAGACATACTTAGGATTGTCACAATGACCAATTAATTATAAAGCTAGTGTCGTCACCACATCTTCTTCAATGCCATTCTTATATATTTTTTTTAATTAAAAGAAACTAAAGTCTTCTATCATAGCCTCATATGTAAATTGTGTATTACATTTCCACGGCATTTCGTATAAGCATCAGTCTCTTTGTTCTGGGAAATGAAAGAAAAAAGAAAGTCAAGTCCCTCTTTTGTATGGATACATATTTCGACATGTATACGTGGATGGTAGATATGGATGCACTAAAGAATATTTTATATTCAAGCAAGTGGTGATTGACTGTGCTTAAAGTGCAAGAAAGTGCTGAACGACAAGAAACAGGTAAATGGTTGCTTTCTGGCGTGTACTAAAGGTAAACTGGAAATCTCTTTTAAGTTGCTTTTGTAGGTATTAAATTATTAAGAACACAAGGAGTGTATTGAACCAAATTAGTGTAATATCCTAATTCCCTCCCTTCTCCAAATTGACTTGGTAAAGGAAAAGAGCGTTGTTGTGTTTTTTATTAATTGGTAGCCGATTCCTCGTCTTTTTGAAAAAGTTGCAAATAAAAATTGAAACTTTGTGGTTTCATTCAGTCAATATCCCTCCCTAAATATATAAATATCCTCTGTTTTCTTTATATCATCCTTTTTCCCTTCAATCCCTCTTTTCTTTATTGATTCTATCTACAATTGTGGAAGAGATTCATTGCAAGAACAATGCTTTAAACCGAGTTGCTGTTCTGACAAAAAAAGAAAAGAAAATAAAGGAATTTACCTTCAGGAGAATCGTTCCAACTACCGGAAACTGCGAGAGTTGAATCATTGTCATTGAGAGAGCCTCAAGACAAGACAAGGCAGAAAACAATTAGATGGTTTCAGAACAACACAAGGAGTTGCTTTCTAGTCCAATTCATCGTCTGTTCTTCCAGCCAGAAATCCAAGCAGAGTCTATAATTTTAAACTCAAGTTCTTACTGCATTCATAGATGAACGCCCCAAATCTTTATCAGCCAACAATATCAAACGAGGAATGCATCACGCCACGCCAATTGGATACATTGTCACAATTCGATGCATCACGCCACGCCAATTGGATACTTCGTCACAATTCGATACATCACGCCAACTATTTCCTTGTAACTCAAAATATTGAGAATCGTCTTCTAAATTATTAACCTCACAGAAAGATGCCTTGCATAACAATTCTCTCGAGTCCATCTGCTTCTACTTTTGAGGAAGATGGTGAGTTCCTTGCAGCCCGCCCTAATGAATCCACAATGTCAAACACTGGAAACTCATGCCCCTTCAAATCCAAAATATCGACCACTCTGACAACCATTCTGTCAAGTTCATTAAGATCACGTTCGAGGGTCGATGCAACATCCGATATTGATAAAGGACAATTATCCTTACGCATATAAACGTAAGCACGAGCACCAAGTATTGGGAACCAATCACCAAGTCCATACTAATATCCTAACACTGTTTGATATGGAAGCAGAAAATCCTAACCTAAACGTAATATCATCATGAACTTTTTAAGCCTCAAAGATTTTCTTGGCCTCATAATTTTAAACGCTGCCCGAATATAAGGTTCCAACGCGGACGAATGTGCCCTGTGAACCATTGACACCAAAAAAAATGGGACTCGTAATTGTAAAATTCCTGAACAATACCGCAGGAGAGGAGAAAACCAGGTTGCCGGGAACATCATCGCGGAAGATGGACCTTCCGCGGCAATTCTTACAAAAGCCGGACATCGGAGAGACGAGATTGGAGGCAAGAAATTCAATCCATCAGTTTGGGAGTTTACTAGAGAAGAGAAAATTATAATGAGTTTGGAGATTCTCCGATGAATGAAACGCCGGGAAAGAAAATTTAAGCGTGTCTTGCAGAATGCTGCAAACCGCAAGAGATAACTGCGTGGGAGCTCGAAATCAACCGCGGGAAGAGCTGAATTTCGAAAATGGGCTGTAGTGTTCTAAACTGAACTGCACGTTTGTGGGCCCAAATTATACAAATTGGGCCTTCTAATTTCATTATTGGGCTTGTAAAATGGAAACCCAAAAATGCAATCTTCAATTTCGAAAATGCACAAGCCATATAAAAGTGAACTTCTTCTCTCAATTAGCATTTATAATAATATGCAGTAAATACAAAATTAAGTATCTAGTAAAATTTTTAAAATTCACTAACATTTTAGATATGGATGGATATACTTAGAAATTAAATATTAGAGAAAAATGTTTATGGTTCCTTTAAAAAAAATGTTTATCTCACAATTTACTTTCAGGCTCACTCGTTACTCTCTCCAATCAATATGAATGTTAGATGATAAAAGACTCACATTATCCGTTAATTTAGGGAATGATTATGAGATTATAATTAAAGAATACTCCTTCCATTGGTATGAGTCATTTTGGGGAAGCTTAAAGTAAATACATGAGAGCTTATGCTCAAAGGGTAGAATATCACACCATTGTAGAAAGTCAAGCTCATTTAATCGTGGGATATTAAAAAAAAAAACAGTCATATGGGAGATATCATGAATAATTTATTACGATTATTTCAACCGTGACTCCCTCAAATAAAAATTTATTAAATTATAAACATATATGATGTGCAGTGTGGGGGAGATAAAGAAACAATATTTAAAAATTGTTTTATCAAGACGCAAAATGTATTACCCTTTCAATGAGTCTAAGCGATTAAATCCTCCAAAGGCCGCTGAAAAAAAATCTTTTTCTTTTGGGACATCCAAACAACTTAAATTCAAATACATATATAATATTGTAAAATAAAGCAGATAATAAAACACCTAATTTTGGTGAAATATATATAAAATAAAATAGCGGACCGAATCAAAACATTGAGATAAATTAAATAAAAAAAATAAATTTTATAATAGTCAAATTTTAATATGTAACAATTTAATTTATATATTTTAAAATTTGAAACAATTTAATTGTCAAAACCAACTTTATGTATAAATACTTAAAAGAGCCAATTTTGAAAAAAAAGAAAAAAAGTCAGAGGGCATCTCACCAAAAAGAACCCCATAAAAGAGTCAATAAAAACAACTATTGCCCCTTTGACGACATAGCCACGTGTACACCCAACAATATTGGGTTATTGATTATTCTAATACAATAAATAAATAATAATAATAAAACAATGGTTTAGTCCTTTCTCCACCAATGTATTTTATTATTCTGTAACTGGATAACCAGCACTGAAAACCGTCTTTACATTGGATGGTTTGGTGTTTTGATGATCCCTACCTCTAATGAAAACCTCATATATATTACCATAAGGTTGCTCATGAAACCGTCCAAATATGTTAACATTAGGTTAATATATTATCAGAGTATTTAATATCATATATAACTTTAAATAACAAGCCCCGTAAAAATTGAAAAATAAAGATTCATTAATATTCTTGTATGATTTTCGGAAATTAAGATGCATTAGTTGACTAACATTAAACTTTAGGATATAAAATTATTGGATGATGAAAGTCCCACATGATCATGGGTTTATAAGTGACTAACTCCATTAGTGTGAGGCCTTTTAAGCCCAAAGCAAAACTAATATCATACCATTGTGGAGAGTTTGTTCTTCTAACAAAAATGAATTACAATATCGAACAAAACATATAATTTAAGAAAATATAGTACTAGCTGAATCTTATAATTGACTTCCACAAACTTCCATCTATATATAAGCTTCAGTCGAAGTTGTAGCACCAACTACAATCGCCATTCCTTTATCCCTCCGAATCGATCTCTGTTCAATCTCATCCGTGAATTGATTTGAAAACCCATCTGAATTCATACATTCGAAATGCTCGAATTCAAGATGATCAAGAAGAAAATGTGGATGTTTTCTATCTGATTCCTCGCCTGTAACTATCTATTTGCACGAATCGTTATGGAAGGTATGAAAAAAACCAGAGTTTCCAGCAAGATTTTGAGCAACAGAGTCTGTGTACAACGAAGCTTCACTCTCCACAAGCTTTCCTTTTGGTTTGCCCCCACGAATCGACCTCCTGGACTACTGTCTTCAACCTTCGGTTCGTAAGTAATTTCCGAGTGATTATTCATTTTTTGGGGTTCTGGGTTTGCAATCTATGGCTTACTCATACGATATGACCACTTCAATCAACCCGTTTTCACATAGTTTCGAGAACCTTAGTTTTGGATTTGTGCGTGGTGGGTCAATGTTATCTAAGTCTTTAGCGTTGAATGGTGAGAAGGAAGAGCTCGTAAAAGCCTCGACTCAGCCGTCGAAGAAAAGGGTGTCGGAGGAGAAAGCACTTGCGGCGCTAAAGAATCACAGCGAGGCGGAGAGGCGGAGGCGAGAGAGAATCAATTCCCATCTCTCGACTCTGCGTGGCCTTGTTCCTTGCCCCATTAAGGTTAGTCATAATCAAAGATTGTGAATTTTCAAATTCGAAATCCATTGGTTTTCCACACTCATGAATTGCTGAATCAGAGGGACAAAGCAACACTGCTCGCTGAAGTTGTCAGACAAGTGAAAGAATTGAAGAAGAAGGCTGCAGAAGCCAGCAATGGAGTTTTCGTTCCATTGGACACTGACGAAGTCAGCGTCGAACCTTGTGGGGTGGGAGCAAACGGGCATATGACCTTCAAGGCAACAATTTGTTGCGAATATCAACCGGAGCTTCTGTGTGATCTAAAACAAGCCCTTGATTCCCTTCACCTGAAGTTAGTAAAGTCAGAGATATCCACTTTGGGAAACAGAGTGAAGAGCGTATTCTTTTTCACCAGCTCCATAGCAGAGAAGGCTGCGCATTCCGAGGCTTCCCGACTTCTCGCATCATCGGTTCACAGGGCAATAAGTTCAGTTCTTGAGAAAGCTTCATCCGTAGAATACTCGCCGAGAACAACTACAACGCTCCCAAGGAAAAGGCGAAGGCTGTCTAGTTTCCATACGTCTAGATAGCCATTAGTATGAACAGTTCACAAAGGACAATTACCTGCCAATAACATGAATAGCTTCGATGGCTCGTGAAGAAGAATGGAATTTGAAGTGACATCTCTTTATGCTGTTCACTCTCGTGTCACCATTATTCCGTCTGCGCTCTGTTCCAATTCTCATAACAAAATCAGATTCCAAATTCACTTCCTCTCATTCCATCATCAATCAAAATCATGCCTCCTTCTCTATTCCCTTATTCGTACATCAAAATTCGGTTCCTAACTCGCGTCCGCCAATTCCTTCGCTCCAAATCATCTCGTAAGCGATTCCGTTCACCATCTGATCCGTCGGATATTTCGAGGCCAGAAATTCGGGAAAGAGAAGAGACTAATATCCGGCAGTATGATCAGGCGTCGTCCGTGTTGCAGAGGACAGTGAAGAGCCTCCACTTCGGCGACGGGGAGGAAAAACAGAGAGCGGCGAAGGAGATTGAGAGGTTGATTAAAGAGAGCGCCAAGGTTAGAAAACTGATGGTGGATCTCGGAGTTATACCTGCTTTGGTGGCGATGGCGGATTCCGATCAGTTGGCAGTTAGGGCATTGATTGAACTTGCTAACGATACTCTCCTGTAAGTTCGTCCGATATCTCTTCGGAAAAGAAAAATCATAATCGATGCTTTGTTTGTTTTCTAGGTCAAAGTTTAAACTTAATTTTTATGTTTCTGTTGAATAATCCTAAATTAATTAGAATAATAAAATTTGTATTGAACAGTTAAGATACAAGAAAATATTAATTATAATCTCTGCAATTCTTCAGGAACAAGATAGTAATGGTGGAGGAAGGGATCTTATCAAAGCTACCGAAGAACACCCAGTTCGCAACAATGGATTCATCCAGCTTTGAATTTGTAGAGCTTTTATTTTCACTTTCATGTCTAGCAAACACCCAGTTGTTTCTTGCTTCAACCGAACCAGTTATTTCATATCTCTTAACCATACTCAACCATTCAAAATCCAGCCCTGAAACCAGAGCATTTTGTTTGGCAACTTTATTCAACATTTCCACCGTCCTAGAAAATGCAGAGACCTTAATCTCCAATGGTGTGGTTCCAACGCTACTCAGATTCTCCAGTGTCAGAGAGTTTTCCGAGAAAGCCTTACCGACGCTAGCAAACTTGGCAGTGACTTCAAAATGGAAGCAAGCTCTGGAAAGCAACTCAACATTCGCAGAGATTTTGGTAGAGATTTTGACATGGGAAGAGAAACCCAAATGCCAAGAACTTTCAGCGGACATCATAATGATTCTGGGCCATCAAAGCTGGGCGCAAAGGGAGAGATTGGGCGAGTCCTGCATCGCCCCTGCGCTGCTGGGATTGGCGCTGTTAGGAAGCTCATTAGCTCAAAAGCGAGCTCTGAAACTGCTGCAATGGTTTAAAGATGAGAGGGAGGCAAGAGTGGGGCCGCATTCTGGACCTCAAAGGGCTGGGATAGTTGCAGTAGGCTCAGGATTGAGTCAGAAGGAGGTTGAGAAAGGGAAGAGGATAATGAGAAGCCTGGTGAAGCAGAGTCTGTATAAGAACATGGAGATAATAACTCGACGAGCCAATGCTGCTGGGGAATGTTACAGTCCAACCGTTAGGAGGGCCTTGGTTTCCAGCATTAGTTCCAAGAGTTCGCCTTTTTGAAACACCTCCAAATCCATTACGCATTTGTAAACTTTCATCGGCCTGCCCCTCTGTATTCTATCATTCTCGTCTTCTGCAGCTCAATCAACGCCAAAGAAGTCAAGAAATTTGTTAGATGAACCTGACTAGGTTGATATTGTCCGCCTAAATTCTCATAGCTTCCCTAAATTATATTTCAGACTTTTGGACTTTCATCTTCAACAAAATTTACTAAGAATTTAAATATTTAGTTATGAAATATGTGGATGACCAAAACATTATTCTAAAAAGTACTTTGTTTTTTTTAATTAATTGACTATTAATTTAAATATTTATTTATGAAATGTGAAAACCATTAGGAATTTAAAAAATACCAAACTAAGATTATTTCTAAATATATCATAAAATTAAAAATAGGAAGAAAATTAAATTCTGATACAAATTTTTTTTTTATAGAAAATTATATTTAATAATGTTATAAATTTACTTAGACGATTATCTTCTGTATTTTCTAAAATCAATCGTATAATATTGAGTGTACCATTAAAGAAGACCAATATTTTTATAAAAAAATTCATTTAATGTCAACAAATCTAATGCCACTTAAAGCTTATTTTAATTAGCGAAATTACTCTGAAAAATATTAAATCTAAATGGATAGGAATTTTTTTTTTTTCTATTTATTATTAACTTCTAAAAAATCGAAAAATAAGTGAAATTGAACTGAAAAGAAAATTGATAAAATACCTAACAGAAAGGCATCGGCAAAGAGTTCCAGGGCCGCAGAGTACGCGCGCGAATATGGCGGATACAAGATTGGGTCCCTCACTGTGCCTCAATCTCCCCAAAATTCCTCTCCATGTTTCTTCCAGAACGTCTCTCTCCATGGCTCTTCCTCGTTCCCATTGCAATGGTTCCTCGGATCCAAATCATAACCCCATCCAACCCTCTCTTCTAGTCTTCTCAGGTTTTAATCCCCGAATCCTGCGGGAACTGATCCAATGGGGCTATTTCATAATGTTTGGTTCGTTTTCTCTTCTGAACGAGTAGTTTTCTGATGTGGTACAGGTGGGACTGCATTTAATGGCGTAGTCGAGGAGCTCAAAAACTTTACGACCCGTGTAGCTCATGTTCTTCCTGTTTCCGACGATGGAGGAAGCACCGCTGAGATTGTTCGCGTGCTTGGTGAGTCTGCTTGATGTTTATTCTCTTTTATGTAAATTACGTATTCAAATTTTTAGTGAATCTTGGGCTAGGTGGTCCGGCTGTTGGAGATATACGGTCAAGATGTTTGAGGTTATCTGATCAGAGTACGGCCGAGGCACTCGCGGTGCGCAGATTGTTAGGTTATCGTTTACCACTCGATGCGCAGCAGGCCAAATCGGAGTGGTATTATTTTCTCCATCTGTCTTTCTTTAATCTTGTAGGTATTTTTCCCCCTCCAAAATGATAAATGTAGGATGTTTTAACTTTTAGCATTAATTAGCCATGAGTAAGAACAATTGGAATGAACTTGCAATTCTAAATGTAGCTATCAATTTACATAAACGAAAGTCAGAGCTAAAGTAATAAACGGGGCTGCAAGCTTGGTGCAAAGCACACACCTAGGTTGCCTATCTGTTTCTTTGTGGCACGAACTTGCTTCTATATTTGCTAGGTTTCATGGCACTTAGCAGGAAACGATCTAATTGGTAACAGAAATTGCACTATGGAAATTTGTCAGGTATGATATCGTGGAAGGAGAAAATTCTTTGTGGGACGGTGTCTCAAAGCCCTACAGGGAAACTATTCGAGCATTTCTAGCCTATTTTCAGAACCAGGTATAATGTAGGCGGCATTTTTGCTTCCTAGTTCATTATCGGTTAAATGGTTTTTTGGGTTCTTCTAATCTCCCACTCTATTTTTATGCCTCTAACCACGTTACTGTAATGCCTCTATTAAGTTAGACCCTTTATATACATATCTATATACATATATATATATATATATATATTTTAGCGAAGGCTGCATAGGAAATGTAATAAAATTGATTGACTACAGATTCTTCGACGGTCTGAAATGTTATTTTGCTTCAGCAATGGAAGGTATGTGTTATAGTTTACCCCTTGCTCTGTCGGATGTATGAACTCAAGGAAAGAAAAGTATTTAAGTTGGCATTGCTCAATATCAAATAGTTGCAACTGATTGGTTAATTGTTTTTAGCATTATCATGACTTACTAACTCCCTTGATTTTCGCAGCATTGGGAATTTCTTTTTTGCAGGCGCTCGTATATTTTTCCAGTCACTAGATGCAGCAATTTTTCTGTTTTCACGTGTTTCAGACATCCCGTCGGACAGTCTTGTTCTTCCAGTGATTTCCACTAATGACAGGCTTACATTAGGATGTGAATTATGGGTATGATTGTCAACGTTCTCTTTCTTTGACAATTATTGCTCAAAAGTTTATATAATTCACGCCAATAGCAATGAGAAAGTGTAAGTATGTGCATAAGTGCCTGAAAGAGCTAATAGTAATTAGGATTATCTAATGCATTCAAGTTCTCTATTCAGAGCTGAAAGAAAGTTGAGGCATTTCATTTTTCACAGTATTTGGAGTGAAGTTTGCAGAATTCCTCTTTATACTTTCATTTCTGAAACGTAGTTGCTGTGAATCCTTTTCATACTCTCTCTTCTACTCTTAAGACAACCTTTTAAAATTTTCTTGATATAGTTGCTTTTTTCATAAATAATCTGATACAGCTGTAAAGTTTCTGCAATGCTTCTCTCAGCAGGGCTCAAGAATTTGAACTGTGAAAACCATCTATTTTATAATTAATTTTCTTTGTTCAATCTACGTTCAGGATGGGACAATAATACGTGGTCAAAATGAAATCTCTCATCCAACGACCGGACCTTCAAAGCTTATTAATAAGGTACAGTTTGTTTGAGGCCTATTCTTATTTCACAGTGAATAATTTCTTTCTGCCATGTTTGTTTACTGTAACTATGGTTACTAAGGCCGATCAGCTGATGAATAAACTACAGTGGTGTTTCATGGAAATGCTTTTAATATTGGTGATCTGGGTCTTTAAATCATGGAAATGATGCAGTACTGATTAACAGTCGAGGGTTGATCATGGGAATGTGAAATGATCTTGCCTACTTAGACAAATGCCTTGGTTGAAAACTTGAAATCAATTTATTTTGAGAATTTTGTACCTTGACTTGGATTGCTCCAGTTGATTCATAAACTAAAAGACAAAACCAGTAGATGGTCAATTTGGCCCAATGGCGCATACAATTTACATATTAACTCATTGCACTGGTTTTCACCACGTTGATTATCCAACTTATTGAATATACGTGATTTTCACTGTGATGATTTGATGTTGTAGTTGGACATGCATGTACATGTGGTAAGACAAATAAATGTAGAGGTGGTTACTAAGTTTTCTTATTTACTTAAATGTGGAAATCTTGCAGGGGAACAGTTCGGCTCCAGCACTTCCTACAAGAATAAAGAGGGTATTCTACATGTCAAGTGAGGGTTGTAATTTGCTGCATGAGGTAAATGACTTGATTATAATGTGCACTATACTTACCTACTTCTACTACGCAACTTTTAGTATCAATCATGCAGAGGGTGTTGTCCGAGAATTATGGTTTTTGTTTAATTTTTTTTCCTAATTCTGTTTAAGTTGTATTATCACTTATCTATCATGTGCACTGTATGGAAGCATCTTCATTTTTTTGTCTTTTGTTTTTATATTTGTTTACCTGTTTCAATGCCATATGCAACAAAAATGCTACTTTTAAAATGCTTATTCAAACCTGATTTCCATGACTCATGGTAATTGCAGTACTTTCATTAATTAGGTTTTCCCCGCACCAAATCCTGTTGTCCTCAACCAGTTGAATGACGTAGACTGCATTGTTTATGCTATGGGATCCCTGTTCACTTCCATATGCCCATCACTGGTAAAAGTCTTCAGAAATTATGAGCATTCTATTAATAGATTTTGATTACTTCAATTTACTAGGTACACAACTTTGTATCTTGCTCAAAAAAAAAATAAAAAGGAAAATAAAAAGGAAAAGGAAAAAAAGAAAAAGAAAAAGAAATAGGTACACAGCTTTCGTTGATATGATGGATTTATATTTTTAATTTTCTGCTACTCCATCTTCATTTTATTTGCGTTTACAAATCATGATGTTATATGAAGCCAAAGTTAATGCTAAACTTTTCACTATTTATGGATTATTTTAGGTGTTGCTTGGAATTGGTGAAATCATTTCATCACGGTCCTGCCCGAAGGTAAAATTTGTTGAAACCCGAACAATGATAATTCCACACTGTCATCTGCTAGATTTGCCTATTTATGATAAATTAAAAAAAAAAAAAAAAAAAATTCCCTTGTGCTTTTAGTTTTTCCCTTTTGGGTTAGTTCGTCCATTAATTAGCACTGAATCTTAAATGTGCAATTAAAACATGTGGCATGGATTTGCATCATTCCAATGACAGGTGCTTCTATTGAATGGCACACATGATCGAGAGACTAGTGGTTTCACCGCTTCTTGTTTTACGACTGCCATTTCAGATGCTTTAAATAGAACTTATGGAGAGAAGCATAATTGTTTAAATAACACTGTAAGTTCATTCTTCGAAGCACAAATTTAAATGAATGAATCATGCCGTCGGTAATCATCTGGTCACAACTATTTCTGCTCGGTCGTATTATTTAAGTTTTGATAGTTTTAAGTTTCACTTTCAGAAAATACATTGTTTGGTCACATAAGAAAACGTTTCTGTTTCAACCTCTTACATATGTAGGCGGACCAGTACATCAATACCATTTTGGTGCCGAAAGATGGTGAGATTCCAATAGATTCTCAAGCCTTGGCTGCACAAGGAATCTTTGATGTGGTATGCTCGAGTACATTTCCGTTGCTAGTAACTTAGTATCATCATCATCATTATCATCATTACTTGCTTTTGGTTGCAATCGGAATAAGCATCCTTGTTGTTGACGTGTCCAGCAGACTTATGACTTCTGAGGGCACAGATTTGACAAAGCTTTTTATTCAGTGTTGGATTGCAGTTATTACTACTAATGATGAGTAATTGCCGTAATTGTGCTATTTTGGTGCATGATTAAAATGTCATTTCTGCAGATTGTTGTTGATTCCGTACGGGATTCTAAAGTTGGCGTAGTATTCGATCCAAAATCTTTGATCCAAACTCTAGTAAAGTTGATTGCAAGATATACAAGATCACGTATAACAGAACAGGTTTAAATGACTGCGTAGGGGATGCAGGGGTACGAACGCACTTGACTATGCTACAACCAACCCATTATTGTTTCAGGTTTGAACTCTCGTATATCCTTATATCAATTATCCAATGGCAAGGATAATTTGGCATGTTCTTCATATGAACATTATGGAATGCACTACAGGAGCAGACCCTCTTTTTAGCGTCTGGCTTTTTACTTGCCCTTGAAGAATACAAGGTGCGATCTTTACAAACAAGTTTGATCGATTCCTACCCAAGTAGTTCACTCTATTAATATATTAAAACTATGATTTATAAGATTGTTCAGGGACATGGAAAAACCCTTCCTAGTCGCCTGAAACTTCGTTTAATTATGCTTCTATCTATCTATATTTTTTTCTTGTTATGATTCATCCTTCTACATTGCTTTTAATGGGTTTATCGTGTCATTGATATCTGTTGTAAAAGCTCATGGGGGCAAGCGCTCTATTTTGAAGTTAGCTACAAAATACCACCATAACCAAGGAGGCAGAAGCCAATGGCAACGGAAAAATATTTGAGAGATTTTGATACACAGCATTACTTGATGGAGATACCAATTATTGTTTGTTTGAATAAGCCATCAAGCACAATTTTAATATCTACAGCCATGAACATATGCTTGTATTTACGCCAAAAAGATAGAGATCTCACGATGAAAAAGCAGAAGAAAAAATAGAGTGAGATAGACATGAAATAAGCCACAGCAACTTGTTTTCCTTCTTTTAGATCCTTTCTGTTGTAGGTCCATTCGTAAGCCACGGCAATGTCCTTCCTCGCACTCTTCATCAAATCATTTCCATGAATGACGTTCCTGCCAATATCAATTGCCAAGTCACCAGGGATGGTTACTACATCAACATTCTCCCCAGATCATGGCAGCGACTGGGCCAGATATTAGGTACTCGAACAACCCATTGTTCAAAGTGAATAGGATGAAAGCTATCAACATGACCAACCAAGTTTCTTCTTCAGCAAAAATTGCTTGAAAAGAAATACAGGGATTCATATCCAAAGAGGAGCACTTGAGAGTCTCACAAATAATCTTCAATTATTACTTCATACCGACAATTGTGGACCAAGAAAGTTCATTTCTAATAGCAATCCCTTACTTTTACCGCCGATTTCAGGGGAAACCATGGGTTTCCATTTTTTTATTTTTAGAAGCCTTTGGCGCTTTCGAAAACTTTTAAGTTTCCTGTGGAACAGGAGACGCGCCAATTCAAATCTTCTGAGGAGAGTTTACAACATACTTAGCAACTGACAACCAATCCATTTTTTTTTTATTATTTTAAATTGACTAAAATATTTCATGCGGAATGTAGTTCAAATGGTAGAACATTCGCATTGTGTTACGGTCACGACTAATCTTAAGGAAAATTCAAGCTCCATATACATTTTTTGTCCGGTTTTGTGGCTTTCTCAGACTCAAACTTTAGGCAAAATTTGTCTTCACCCACTGAACACAACTTGTGCGGAATTCAAGATTGTTTGTCCACACATATCGCCTATACATGCGTGTTCAATCATTTGCGACACATCCAACTTGCATGTACGCTTAAGCCAAATCATTCAACTTGATCATGCCTTTACTCAAGGTTAAAAGCCTCTGGTCTCTATCTTAGGTGTGGCATTACACATACTCTGTTCCAATGAGATTAGGACAGTCTCACAAACAGGAACGGTGCGTCTCCATCTTTTTTTTGGGGGAATGGGTAATTGGTCATTGGAGGTGGGTCTCCACCATTACCTTTACTTTGTTGGGGTGTTGACTCTTTGATAGGGTGACCCCACACCCACAGGCACAGCCTGCAAAATCCTACTTTCCCTGCATACTGCACCCCCCAAGGCCAAGGTAAAAGCCCAACACATTTTAGACCCACTCTCCTCAATTTGTTTTCCTTCTTTTACCCTATTATACAAACCCTTCAATCTTTCATCTTTTATATCTTTTTCTTTCTAATTAAATATGTTCAATTCATTTCTTTTCCCAAATAGTCAAAGCCACTTTCATTGCAATTGCTTCCTTTCTTTTCATTTCACTTTAGAGCTCCAAATTGGTATACGTACATCTATTAAACAATTTTTTGAACCATGAAATATACACCAAAATATAGTTTTGACGGTACAAAAAAAAAAAAACATGAATACGCAGATATACTTTTTAAATGGTAAACAAGAAACAACATATGACGTGTGAAAGCCATGTGTCTTCGATTACTTGCATCGGTGGGTAGTGTAATAATATGCGGCCCCGTGACATGCAGTCCTACGGCTTTTCTTCCCAATTCACGAGCTGTGCAAAATGTTCCAATTTTAAATTGTTTTCTTTTTCAATCCATTTTTATTTCAATCATTTTTCCCAACCCACGTTACCAAATCATGTGATTGAGAGCTCTGTCCCTCACTCTCTCTCTCTCTCCGGCTTCCATGTCCTTACATAAACTCACTTGAGGGCTACTAAAAGCTTCACATTCATAGCCCAATCGAAGTCGTTTTGGAGCCAAAAATCCAAGAAATGGGTTTTGGAGTGGTGGGAGTGATTTTAAGTCTGCTTCTTGTTCTTCAAGCTTCTGGGTTTGTGTCAGTGCAGCAAGCAAACGCATCAGGATTCAACACATTAAAAGGAAGAAAGCAAGCGAGCGGGTGTAATCTGTTTCAGGGAAGATGGGTAGTAGACCCCTCTTTCCCTCTTTACAATTCCTCCACCTGTCCTTTCATAGACGCCGAGTTTAATTGCCAAAAATATGGCAGACCCGATACTCTTTACCTCAAATACTCGTGGCGACCCGACTCATGTACCCTTCCAAGGTCCTCTCTCTCTCTCTCTCTCTCTCTCTCTCTCTCTCTGTAATCTTTATTAATGATGCGGTTTGTTTATTAATGATGAGTTTGTGGATTTGCAGATTTGACGGAGTGGATGTTCTGAAGAGATGGAGTGGGAAGAAGATAATGTTCGTGGGAGACTCACTGAGTCTGAATATGTGGGAATCGCTTTCGTGTATGCTGCAAGCGGCGGCGCCTAACGCCAAAACCGCCTTCTTCCGGAGGGACTCCATCTCCTCCGTCTTCTTTCAGGTTTTGCACACAATGTTTGTCCAACCATCATAATGTCTTTAATAATCTCCCCTAAATTAATCAAATTACTTTTCATTTTTTAATTAAAATTTTTGAAGGTGGGAAATAATTTTATTAATTTAAATAAATCATTTTTATTGTGATATTGAACATTATATGTTAGTATTTTAATGTACTCTCAAACTCTTTTTTCTATCCGAATTATTTGATTGGTCCACCGCCAATGGCCCCACATGAGCCTCCAATTTTCGGTGGCCACGTGTATTGCGTTGCTGACAGCCTGTGATTGGCAAACTTCGCCCAATCTCGCTGACGATACGCGCTCTCGATTTTGTTCTTTTTCTAAATAAACCATTATTACATAAATTCAAAATTAATAATTTTTTAGTATTTAGCTTCCTTTCAATATTTTTTTCATTTAATTTTTAGCATACTTTCATAAATTTCAATATGAATTTATTAAAAAAATATAACCAATGTTGATGATTATTGTGAGTGAGTCTTACGTTGGTATGAGTTTATAATTGGTTTATAAGTGAATAATACTACGAGGGGAATTCCAAATCAAAGTCTTGAGAGTTTATGCTCAAAATTGACAATATCATATTGAGATCTGTAATTACTAATATGATATCAAAGTCATGCCCTAAACTTAATCATATCAATAGAATCCTCAAGTATCTAACAAAGAATTGTGAGCCTTGAAGGTGTAGTCAAAAGTGACTAAAGTGTCGAATAAAGGGTGTACTTTGTTCAAGGGCTCCCGAAAAAGGAGTCGAGCCTCAATTAAGGGGAGACTTATAGGATACTTTGTTCGAGAAATGAATGTTGAGGATTATTGGAAGTGAGTCCCACATGGGTTTATAAGTAAGAAATATATCTCTAGCAAGAGATCTTTTGGTGAAGGGCAAAATAAAGTCACGAGAGTTTATGCTCAAAGTGGACAATATTACGTGATTGATAACAATAAGATGTATTCAAATCCAAGAAGGAAATGTGATTTTAATCTTATTTTTTGTCTGGGTTCAAGTACTTATATAGTTTATTTTGGATCTTTTAAAGTTACAACAATACATAATAATTTGAACTTTGAACATTTTGGTGGATATTACATATATTAAGTCAGTTGATGTGAATAATGTAAAACGTTGTGTGGGGACAGGATTATGGAGTAACACTGCTCCTATATCGGACGCCATATCTTGTGGACATAGTGAAAGAGGACGTAGGGCGAGTACTGAAACTAGACTCCATCGAGGCCGGCAAGGCATGGCTAGGAATGGACGTTCTGGTTTTCAACTCCTGGCATTGGTGGACCCATACAGGAAACTCTCAGGCGTAAGATTAAATTCAAATTAAAAAAATGAGTGTTTTCTGGGATTACAAGAAGGATGAAGAAGAGGTCGTGTAATTTTGCAGGTGGGATTTGATACAGGATGGGACGACACTGTCTCAAGACATGGACCGTTTGGTAGCATTTTACAAGGGATTGACGACATGGGCCAGATGGGTTGACCTCAATGTCGATCCTACAAAAACAAAGGTGTTCTTCCAAGGAATCTCGCCTACCCACTATTTGTAAGTGTCAAATTTAACCTTCAATCGATGGTTCTTCCATTTTGGTTTGTTGTTAATGTTGAAAATCATTGAATCAGGGGGAAGGAATGGAATGAGCCCAAAAAGAACTGTAATGGAGAGAGTGAGCCGTTAACGGGATCGATGTATCCGGGGGGCGCGCCACCAGCTGTGGATGTTGTAAATAGAGTGTTGAGTAGGATAAAAGTGCCGGTTTACTTACTGGATATCACCACTCTGTCTCAGCTGAGGAAAGACGCTCATCCTGCTGGTTATAGCGGCGAGATCTCTGGGACGGATTGCAGCCACTGGTGCCTTCCTGGATTGCCTGATACATGGAACCAGCTCATGTACGCGGCTCTCTTAACCATGTGAACCTCAAATCAACTTACTTCTCTCATTTTTCAACAACACAAAATAAGGAACAGGTAACAGGGATGGTACACAGAATAGGAGCAGATGAATGGATAAGATAGTGTAAAAGGGTGGATTATTTGTGCCTGTTGTGATTACAAACATAGAATTTTAGGAATCAACTTCTGGTTTATTCAATTTAGCTTCTACCCATTTGCCTCTACACCTTCATTTCATAGTGATCTACTTGTCAAATGAATTAGCTTTCCTAAACTTATCTCTGCAACCACCAGTCTTGTTTGCATTACACTTTGTTCTAATCTTCTTCGCTGATTTGCATTTACTTGAATTCACTAGTGTCAAATTTATTCATCTACGTGCATTCTATTGGTTTCGACGTTTGATTGAAGTACACTGAAAAAATTATCATAGCCAAAAGAAACAAAATAAATCTTTGTACTAAAAATGTCTCACCATTAATAATTTCTTTCTTGATGCCGGGCTGTGACATCCTATAATTTCAAGGCGAGGTTTAATGTTTGGTTTTGAACAAAGTAGTCATAGAACCACTGGAATTCAGAGGAGAAATCGTTTACTCTAACCGCCCAAATTCACCGCTAGTAGATATTATTCTCTTTAGACTTTCCCTCGACTCTTTAAAACACGTCTACTAATCAAAATTTTCCATACTCTTGCAAATGGTGTTTGGTTGGGGAGGAGAATAAAACACCGTTTATAAGGGTGTGGAAATCTTCCTCTAGCACACGTGTTTTAAAGCCTTGAGGGGAGCTCGAAAGAGAACCTCAAAGAAGACAATATCGGCTAGCGGTGGATCTTGACCATTACATATATATTCTGCAACAAATCATGTCCACAGCTTGTAACAACCCATACTAGTAGATCTCACATTGGTTGAAGAGAGGAACGAAACATTGTTTATATTCGTACGGAATCTTTTCCCTTTGAGGCCAGCGTTCTTGCTGACACTCGTTCTCTTTTCCAATCAATGTGGGACACCCAATCCACTCTCTTCGGAGCCCAGCGCCCTTACTAATACATTGCCTCGTGTCCACTCCTTCGAGGCTTAGCCTCTTTATTGGCATATCGTCCGGTGTCCAACTCTATACCATTTGTAACCGTTCAAAGCCACTAGTAACAGAAATTGTCATCTTTAGACTTCTTATTTTAGAGTTTGTTTCAAAATTTTAAAACGCGTCTAACAAATCGTAGTCTTCTCGACTGCTACCAAACGGTTTATTACTCGGCAGTCTGCAGTAGAACATCCCACAGCTTTTGGTTCGTGAGCTCGACAGAATCTGAGTTAATCTCTCAGCTTCCACGTTGAATCCTGCAGCAAAGTGGAGCAGTAGAACACGTTTCCATCCAATCAGCAATTAAATAAATTTTTTAAAATTTAATTGGAGGTTAAAAATAATATTTTCCGAATGAAACAAATGCCGGAATTCCTTTTTTGCTTTTAAACAGCAAAGAAAAATTGGAAGTATTATGATACGAGAGGCAGTAAAATCTGGGGTAAGGTGCAGTGTCTCGTCAGCTATAGCAAATCCACAGGCTTTGATTTCTAAGGAGTGGGAAACGACATGTCGACGCCAAAGCCTTTCGCTTTTGCTCAAAGTTGATACACCTTTTTTGTGGACTATGCCTCTTTACAGGCCGCAATCTGGCTTATGCACTTTCTGATGCTCCTCATCCATTTTCCATTTTCCATTTTCATAACCAAAACAAGAATGACATCATCAATCAAGTGTCGACTATGTGAAGCATGATGATAAGACGAGATGAGACGTTGTATTCATGTTAGGAATTACGACTCTCCACAGTGATATTATATTGTTCACTTTAAGTATAAGCTCTCATGGCTTTACTTTGGACTTCCCCAAAACACTTCATACGAATGGAGATAGTATTCCTCACTCAGAAACCTAAGATGTGAGACTCACTCCCAATAATCCTCAACCATTCAAAGGACTTGACCTAGAGTATATGTGGTGTCAGTCGAGTTAGATGACTTGACTTAGAGTAGAGACAAATTAGGTAGAGTTGCAATAAACAAATACACATTCACGGGTGGCGTATATGACCAAGCAAGCTTAGTTTATGTATGAGTAGTCAAGCTCGGTCGGTGAAGGACAACCTTGCCGAAGGTTTGATAAAATCGTAAAATCAAGCAAAAAATGTAAATGGGACTTGAATTGTTCAACTTGTCATGAGCATATAAGAACATGACGTCACATAGTACGAAAAATATGATCGTTGACAACTTTGAGATATTTGAAGGAGGGTTTTCTTAGTTTATCATATAGATATCAATTCGACCATATAGTTTGATAAATAAAGCATCAAAATATGATGATCGATGTCTAATCTACTCCAATATGTTTTGTAAAATAGTTATATTTATAAAAATGGGCTAAACATTGGTGTTTTGTCTCTTAGTTGACTGATTCAATAATGAAGTTTGGCAGTTGAAGCATCAATGAAAAGCTACATCGTTTATTATTAAGCGACAACATGTGAGGCGGAGGAGGAGGAGGAAACAGCGGAGAAAACAAAAGACAAAACAAAACAGTCAACAACGCAGCTTCAAATTTAAGGTGAAATATGGTTGAGGATGTTGTAAAGAATCTAATGATGGTGCTGGTCAGGACCCCCGGGGCTCGATCTCGCTGGCCGGCGCTCATTTCCAACTTCTTTGGCAGCTTCATTCAAGGCCTCCACCATTTCCCTCACGCTTCTTTTCTGGATTACATCTTTACCCAAACGCCGCCCTTCAACCACCCGCCACCTCCCACAAACAACCCATACCATAATAATCAACAACCCCAACAACTTCAACGCCCTCCACATTTCTGATTCTGATCCTATTTGCCTCTTTCACTTCCCTCTCATCATCCCATTGTTATTTATAGCCTTTACCTCCTCCCATTCATTGGATGGGTCTCTCTTAATTATATTAAAAAAAAAGTTTTCACACAATAAATGTTTCGTTATTCTTTATAATTGATGTGAAATCTCATAGTGATACGTATTAGAATGTTTACGAATAAATTTAAAATAAAAATGAGATATTGTCACCGATGTATAGAACTTTCTTAATGGTCAAATATGAATGGAATTAAAAGGATGGAAATGGGATGAAAAAATCCAAAATGTGACGCATAACTTGAAGTAGTTTGGGGTTTGATACAATGAGTGGGGCTGATGCATGGGAAAAGACAAAGGATCTAACGAGGGAGGGAGTATGAATACACCATCTCAATGAGTTAAAGACATGTTTTGTTCATTTTGTTTTGGATAAGTTTTAAACTTTTCATCACGATTCGTTGTCACAAAGTAATAAATAATTATAAAGATGGTTACCAAAGTTGGATAATAAAGCTAGGTGGGATTTTGCTAGTTTAATCTTTGATTTAATGGGGTGGTTTTTTTTTTAAGTAAGAATTAGTTGGATAAGATCTAATGTCTGTGACATATGAATTAAATTTAAAGTTTTTAGGTATAAAATGGATAAGCACATGTGTTGAGAGAGTTAGAAGCTGCGGGCGTTGCATGCAATATTCTAAAATTGTGTTGCTTTCGATCCTAAAAATGGAGTTGATAATGTTATTTTTTTGTTAATGGATGTCCAGATTTTACCATTGCTTTATTATTCTATCTACTTTTTATTACAATGTTAAAGATTAAAACATGTCTACATTTTCATTCTTATAATTAACTTAATTAGATATTGTGAATAATATGAAGCTTAATTTTTAATCTAATATTCAAGATTTTAGTTTCATACCCAAGTTAACGCTAAAGCTTATCATGGATTTGATTTACCAAATTGAAACATGAATGTCTCTTTTGCTAAGTTCAGTTGTGATGTCCTTCGACACCCCACGCAGGATTTACAGCTTGTACCCTTTCGGTTAATCCATAAAGATCGGATACCCATATTCTCGGACCATACAATCCGGTTACATGAAATGCACCAAAACCAAAGCAACCCAACCCTGAGAGAAATAAATGAATTCCAAAAATCTTCGGCAAATTCAAAGAAGGTTTTCCTGTACGTTCATCACAAAATATTTCTAGATCCCAATACACCCAATGCCAGATAGCTGCTAAGAAGCACAATCCAGAAAACACAATATGTGCTCCGGCCACACCTTCGTAACTCCAAATACCCGAATTCGTTATAGTCCCTCCTGTGATACTCCAACCCCCCNTTCCCATACGTAATCCTTTGTATAGACGTTGGGGCGGACGAACACTAAGATGGAATAGGCCCGCTAATATGCCCAATGTACCTGCTGCAATATGATGAGAGGCTATTCCGCCCGGAACAAAAGGATCAAACCCTTCGACACCCCACGCAGGATTTACAGCTTGTACCCTTCCGGTTAATCCATAAGGATCGGATACCCATATTCCCGGACCATACAATCCGGTTACATGAAATGCACCAAAACCAAAGCAACCCAACCCTGAGAGAAATAAATGAATTCCAAAAATCTTCGGCAAATCCAAAGAAGGTTTTCCTGTACGTTCATCACAAAATATTTCTAGATCCCAATACACCCAATGCCAGATAGCTGCTAAGAAGCACAATCCAGAAAACACAATATGTGCTCCGGCCACACCTTCGTAACTCCAAATACCCGAATTCGTTATAGTCCCTCCTGTGATACTCCAACCCCCCATGAATTGGTTATTCCTAAACTCCCACAAAAATGGCGAAATAGAGTAAAGAAAGATCGTATGGTCAAAAATAAAGATTTTAAACAATGTTATTCATATGAACAAAACAGATTAATTGATTACAAAAATCAAAATGATTTTGAAACATGCTACTCATTACCAAATAAAAACGATAATATTCTAAAAAAAAATATATATGATCTTTTATCAAACTTTAGTTTAGTGTACTCCTTTTGTTATTTTAATTTATGGCCAAGACATTTCTCTTATCTTCAACTACAGGGTCATGTTATCTACTCATTGCTTTAGAAGGGAGATTATCCACCAACATGTGTCATTCCAGTATGTTTTGTTCTCACTCTCACATGCATCCTAGAAATTTTTTAGGAAATCACCCAACATAAAATTGCTTTAAGTAGAGCATGCTTAACCATGAATTTTATGATTGAGCCATCAAAAAGAAATGTGCACCTTATTAGTATATACAATTAACTTTCAATTCTTTGTAAGTCTTTTTTAGTAATCTTATCACTATGATCGCTCTTATTTAGATGTGGTCTCAGTTCATTCATATGCTCATAGGATCTCAAAATCACTTAAAAGGATGGTTGGAATTGAAAAAAAAAAAAATTAAATATTGAAAATTCATGTAGATAATATAAACTAAAACTTTTTAAATATGATAACAAATCATTTTGTATTATAATAGCACCCACTTTTAATTTAAACCCATTTTTCTGTTTTAGGCTAACAATTTCCTCCTTTCTTTTTCGTTTTTTTTCCTTTTTTGAAACACTATTTAATGTCAACCAAAACAAAAAGATTAGACTGCATAATTTTTTTTGTAAATATTTATTTTCGTCCTTCACCAACCCAACTAACTTAAAATTAAAATTTAATGTATCCTCCACTTCATTTTTTGAAAACTAATTTTGAAAAACAAAATTAGATAAAGTTTTGAAAAAGGCAAGACATTTGACGATTGAAATAAATAAAATACAAAAATTGGAGAGCTTCATTCGTCAACTTATATATATTTATTTTGGCAGCCCATGAGCGATTGGTCGGTCGGTCGGTTTTTTTGTAAATAAACTGGGCGGCCGGCGGTTAACATAAATGCCTTTTAATATATCTTAAAACTTAAATAAATAAAATGAGATTAGTACAAAAGTAGTTTAATTATTAATTAATTCACAGAAAACATCTCTAATTAGCTCTGTAATTAGTTCATTAAAGAATATTTATGCTAAAAGAAATTAATTTTGATAGTTTAAATTATTGTTTTTAGTGGATATTTGAATTGATCAAATATGATAAAATTTGATATTTTTTTAATGAGTTCGCACTATGTTGTCACTATATAAGTTATGCAGCCACCTCACTAAATTTACAATATTCATCATTTTACTAAAAATGTGAAGAAATGTTGTTACGTATGTTTTCGTCATTGAATTATTGATGTCATTAATCTCATGTGTTTGATATAAATTGATTATTTAAATAGAAAATGGAGAAAAAGTAGGCAATAAAGTGAAAAGGAAGGAATATTGTTGGTTGGATTATGTGCGTTAATCAGATATACAAATCTCAGATAATTAAGGCGATTAGTGTATAAAAAGGCAACCCCACTTCCAAATAAGATATTAATTAATTTCATTCTACTATCGAGTGCTGTTTATCTGAGTTAATCCGTGGCGTTCTCTGTTTTGCATTTCTAAGAGTTTGAATGTAAGCCACGCAATATAGAAATTTAGAGATGAAAAAACAGAGGAGAGAGAGATTTTATTGATGGGGATGATTCAAAATCAAAGGTGGATCAGCTGGTTTCCTTGAGATATGATGTTGTTGTATTGGGGCAACCAGAAAAAACCCATAATCCAGAGGTGGCTCTCAGTGGAGAGCATGTATTGATGATTGGGAATTGGCATTTCGCTGTTTCTTCGATCAAATCAAGCTGGAAATGCCCAATTCTTTTGTTATGCGAAATGAAGTGTTTTGGGGCCGTCTTCAACGTGGGGGTGTTTGTTCTATGAGCTTCAGAGATCAGTAAGAAAAACACACCCCTTAGTCGGATGGTTGCTAATGATGGTGGGGGTCGGGGCCTCCGGGGCTGAGGCGGGTGGGTTTGTAGCCAAATTTCTTGGCGTGTTCATTCCCCAGTCGAGAGATTTCGGTGGCCATTCGGGTCAGTGCTGGGTTTGATTTCGTTGGGCTCTGACTCGGGTTGATCGGAATGGCGAAGAATCTGGCGATTCTGGTGACGGGCGATATTGGGATTATGAAGTTTGAGTTCTTTGGACCAATCAAGTGACGAGCTTGGAGTGTTGAAGGTGAAACGAGTAGGATGAAGATCAAAACGCAGAATCCCAGATGGGCCATGTTTGTTTTTCTTCTTTACAAAATGGGGATGTAATCGAAAGAGGAGTGTTGAGAGAAGAGGTAACGTTTTCAGGGTTTCGCTTCTCCCTTTTATACTATTGTTTGGGGTTTTTTTTTATTTATTTCTTATTTTTATAACAAAAATCATTATTATTATATTTAAAAATACATGGAAACTTTTAACCATTTAAAAAATAATTAAAAAGTTTTATCAATAAGTTTACACAGTAGGTATGGTGTTAAAAAATATGTACACACAATTTTAAAAGCAGCTTTAACATTATTTACTATTATAAAATAATTTAAAATATATATTTTACTGTGAAGGCGAAAACGGTGGTGGATGTAGGATAAGGTTGGTGGAGGGAGGGTGAGGGGGCTTCCTTGGTCGAAGTGGATTCCATTGTATCTCTTCTCTGTTCTCCAATTTTGTTTTTAAGTACTGAATGGCGGTTTTGTCGGCTGTTTCCACCGCAACTTACTCGCCGTCTCATTAAATAAATTGTCTTATTCGCATTCAGTTTGGGCATATGGATATGGATGAATTACTTTTACTCGATTAACATTTGGTTATGGATAATCACTTTAGAAACAGTATATCACCCATTCACGAGGGTCTACTTTTGGATAAATAAATTATTTGAAGAGATAGCGAAGGAAGAAGTTAGCGTCCCATAAGCTCTCTGTTTGCAAGTCTGAAGAAGAAAAAGGAGGGTGTGAGATCCCACCCTCGTTGAGGATGAGAACGAATCATTCTTTGTAAGGGTGTGAAAATCTCTCTCTAGCAAACACATTTTAAAAACCTTGTGGAGTCACCCGAAAAGAAAAGCTCAAAAAAACAATATCGGTCACTAGTGAACTTGGGCTGTTACAAATGATATCAGAGTCAACGATGTGTCAGCCCCAAAAAGGGGTGGACACAAGGCAGTTCCACGTAATCGCGAAACATTTTTTATAAGGATGTAAAAACTTCTCAATATCGACTAACGATGAACATGGGCTATTGCAGAAGACCTTTGTCAGGAACCACGGGAACAGATAAATGTCTTAATACTAAGAAGAAAGATACGGGAACGATGAACATGTACTTCTAATTCTAATTTGTGTCTAGAGTTGATACTAAGGAAATATGATTTTTTTTCAATCTAAATCCAAAAGTTATCAGTGTGTGGGGTGGCCCAATTCAATAATTTATCCAAAATACTGGGACAACCAACAGCTCAGTGTTAACATAACTGAAATACATTGTAACTCCAAAAGTTACCAAGAGCTCAGTTGTAATTGGAACAATAGAAGATGCATTCATAGTTAGACACTCTTAGTATAATATTTACTCCTCCCTACAAAATGACAAACATCTAATGTTGCGACAATACACCACGAGATTGTCCACTAAATACCTTCACTTCTGAGAATCTCAAGTTTGGCTGCCATTAGCAGAAGCAATCCAGAATCTGGGTGGCCGCTCCAGAAAGGCAGGTGGGCGCTGGAACACCAAGGAAGCTGCCTTGATCAAGATCCCAGCAGTGAGAGCCCATATCACATACTTTTCATTCTCATATTCATAGTCAAAAAAGTGTAACAGATAATTATATCCCATCCATTCCTTCTCCACTGCTCTTCTCTTCTCATCCTGCGCCAACTTCAATAAGTCACCAACCAATTAGTCTAATCAAAGTTAAGATCAAACAAGTATGATAAACCTTGAGGAACATTTCCAAGGGAGCATCAAATATTGCATCTACTTCAGCAGCACTTGGAGTGGGTTTGAATGCTTCCTTCCTAGATAACAGCCCAAGTACAGGAACGACAGTCATACCCTTCTGCTCAGACAGAACATACATCGTTAGGAATTACGAAGCTCCACAATGGTATGGTATTGTCCACTTTGAACATAAGCTCTCATGGCTTTGCTTTGGACTTTTCCAAAAGGCCCCTACCAATGGATATGTATTCCTTATTTATGAACCTACGATCATTCTCTAAATTAATCAACGTGGGACTCACTCGTAACCATACTCAACAAACATGTAAAATGCAGAAGTAACAAGAGATAAAAGACAGGCAGAAAGGGTCAGAATTAGCAGCAAAAAATTCAAAATGTGACATAAAAATTATACTCTTGCAGAATCAATAGAACGCCTACACCTTCAATCAAATGGTCTTCCCTCAACCAAATGTTTTATCTAATCAAAATGTACAATGTTAAATGGAAACTGGAAGGGAAAGTGATTCTAGCAATAAACTGGAGAGAGGTACAGTTTTGATGTTATGATCAGGCGAAATAAGAAAAATTATAAAAGAAAAAGGGTTAAAAGTATAAACAAAAACGAAGTATGGATTGTGCAATGAATATGGTTCATGGACAAACATAATCTAAGCTCAAAAGTAAAAACAAAAAGGTATATATGAACCTTATTAACATATGGTTCGAGAACAGCGACGACGTTAACAAGAGAAGGGGCTAAGCCAATTTCCTCCTCTGCCTCTCTCAATGCCGTCGCAACATCATCGGCATCACTCAGATCCCTTTTTCCGCCGGGGAGCGCGACTTCCCCTGCATCCCAATATCAATCATCTAATCCTTCTCCTATTCTATTGTTCTTTAAAGCAATTTCAATTTCAGAAAGATGAATTAGGGTTTCGGAGCGAGACTGACCGGAGTGGGAAGAAAGCGTAGAGGCTCGCTTGGTGAGAATCACGCGGAGTTCGCCAATGTCGCTTAGGAAGAGGCAGATGAGAACAGCAGCACGGTTGGTGAGTTGGGTTGCCGCCGGATCTGGTGGCGGCAACGTCGGAGACTGAGAAGAATTACCTGTGCGGAAATGTTCTGCCAAAGCCTGCAGTCTCTGGAGAACGTCTTCTCCAGAGCTTTTGGCGGCCATGGACATGGAGAATCAGGCTGCCGTTTCTTTTCCCGTTTCCTTTCTTTATATGGTTGGAAATTTCATGCGACCAATTGGGGATTTTTCTAATTTGATTTTGTTTTTAAATACCAAATACCAAATTTAACTTTTTCAAAAAAATGGAAGAAAAAGTATTTATTAACCTTTCTAAAAGCATATTTAGTTTAAATTTAATTCGATTAATTAAGATATTTTAATTTCCTCCCTCAAAAAAATGGAAGAACGTCGCTTGCGTTCGAGCGCCGGCAGTGGCAAGGTTTACACTTCAAAAGGCCTCCGAGCAAGGAGGCTCCGGCTGTCGGCTCCGACCGCCATTCAATTCTACGACATTCAGGATCGCCTTGGCTATAACCGACCAACTGAAGCCATCGACTGGCTTCTTCAGAATGCCAAATCCGCCATTGATGCCCTCTCTCGACCATTAGAAACAGAGGACGGCAAGCGTAGCTTCCCTTCTATGGCTTCTTCCGTTCCATCGTCGTCTTCTTCTTCCCAATTCCTGGCTTACCCACTTGAAAATTTCTTCCGAAATGTTCGATTTTTGCTTTTGTTTTTTGGAAAATTTGTTTTCAGTTAAAGTTGCCAGAAATGAAGTTGTGTGATTCTGTAACAGGGCAACCTCTCTGTTTTGAGTCCAATGATAATGAATGTCACGCCGGCGGAATTCTCCGGCATGCAGCCACCGTGTTTAAGTCAGAGCAATGCAACAAGTGGGTTACCATCCTTTCCGATGTGGGAATAGCAGCCGCCGGATGATTTTCAAAGGTGAATTTGGCGACCGTCGTAATTTAGAAATAGTTTAAATTCAAATTCAGTTTTAAAAAAAAGTGATTTAATCTCATATTTATTTTCTGTCCAATCATTACGTTTCGTTCTCCAGAAATTCGGTTTGCTTATGAATTGACATGCAATGATTAGGTTTTGTTGAAACATCTGTTTCAGATGGATTCTCAGAATTTCACGCGCCGCCGGATCATTGAAGTCAAGTCACAGAGGTAGCTTCTGACGGTGTTATTGCATCAGAACCAATAGCCCTTTTGTTAATTCTTTTTCTTTTTGGATTTGCTTTCTCATGTTTTGCAACCAACACTCAATTTCTTAACATATTTTTTACTAACTGTTTTCGTTGAGGGAGATAAAAATTTCAGTTCATTAATCCAAAATGTATTTTCCTAACATTCATCATCTTCATCTTGATCAAGCAATTTGTGTCCATGGAATAATTGTTTTTAGATCAATGCTTTCGAAAATATGCCTTGACTATCAATCATCAAATAGATATTGCTTTTGTTATTGGTACGAATATGGGTTATATGTGTGCATGATGATGATGATGATGATAGTGGGGATAGAAGGCAGCAGCTTTTTGTTACAAAGCTGTGAGTTTCTTAATATGCTCACCTTATTCTTCAACATCTTTATTTGTTATTATGTGTGCATAAATAAAAACAGTCTGAAACTCCCTCACACTCTTCATTCTGGCTTTCTTTTCTGGAAATCAACCCTCTCAATTATTGAGTTCTCTCTTACTACACAATATAAAAAAAAAAAAATAATAAAGGGCCCTTTTATTCACCCCCCTCTATTTTCCATATATTGTAAGTCCTGGTCCCGGCGAGGCTCGAACTCGCGACCTCCGGCTCATAAGACCAGCGCTCTAACCAACTGAGCTACGGGACCAGACGATGTTAATTTTGGTTATTTAATTTAATTAAATGATATCCAACTCGGAGTTTCAGTATTTATTTTGGATCCACAGACTGTCGACTGCTTCATTGTGCACTGAACCAATTGCTACAGCGCTGCTATTTTTACTTCTACAAATCATCAGCTTATATCGATTGCATCCCGCCTTCCCCGTTATTGGATCATGAACTCAAACCGCCCCTCTTTTAAACGAAACATTTCAAAATTCAAGAGCATAATTGACATCTACTCGATATTTATTTATTTTTTTATGTGTTACGAGACTTCAGTTTAATGCTTCCACGATTCCCAGCTTAATTGAACATATATTACAAGTTTTTAATATCTAAATATAATACAATGTTTTGATTTGGCAGTAAATTGAAGGAAATCCGATGGCCCATTAAGAAATTAAATTAAAACATACAATATGGATTGTGTATGATTCTCCAAAACCAACAAACATTAAAATATGCAATGTGTTAGAGTAAACCCAGCTGTGATGATATAAAATAAATGAAGATTTTGAGACGAAAATCAGATTTAATTAATTACTCCTTTTGGTTTTAAAATTTTAAAATAAAATAAAAAAGATTCGGCGATTTTTGAAAGAAGCTGGTAGTGTGGTGTGATTCTGTTGATGATTAGATAAGATTGGGTGTCTGTGATAGGCCATGTGAACTGTGAAGCCATTTTGGTGCGAAGAAGAAGAACAGAGCAGAGAGCAGAGAGCAGAGAGAGAGAAGCCCCCACCTTCTCACCTAACCCAATCTGACATTGATTTATGTTTGCAATATCAGGTCGAGTACGAATGAAGATGGTATTTCTCACTTATAAACTCAACGATCGAACTCTCGTAATTTCTTCCATTTTTAATGTTTTACGACTCCATTAAATTCTAAAATATATATTTAGTTAAAACTTTTTAATGATAAGAAAATAAATTTAATTTGTAAAAACGTCGCATGCAACCCAAACAAATGTGTTTTTGTTGCTTATGGCTTTAATGCGTTCGAAAAACAATGCTAACATATCTAAAAAACGGTAACAATCCAAGCGTAATGGAATAATATCTTAACCAAAATAATTTGAATAACATTTAAATAAGTTTTGAATGATATTAAAATTTAATTATTGTGGAAGTTTTATTTGAATTCTGTAATCACCATTCTATGTTAAAGGAATATTTATTTGTCTATATATGAAACAAACCCTGTGAGTGAGTGTTGGTGTTGAGTATTAATTGAGGTGGACAGAGTAGCTCCTCATAACTTCCATATATTTTCCTCAAAAAACACTGAACTTCCATATATAAAAACATCGTAATTCTCAACATTCTCAATTCTATTTCAAATCTAATTTTTCATTGAATACAAATAATTAATCTTAAATTCAAATTCTTTAATAGCACTCAATTAACTCCATATTCACTTGTCTAGTTTGAGCCATGCTCGGGTTGTTTGAGCTAAGATTATTCTCACATACCCACATGAGTTTCATGTCATAGAATTGCTTAAAGTAAGCTTAATCATCGAATTCTTATGATTGTGATATTATTTTAAGTTTTTCTTAAGAATTGCTCCCATTCAGATGTATCATCTAAGATGGAGAAGAAGAAGAAGAAAAAAAGGGTGTAATAAGTTGTGTGTGGGCAGGTAAAAATGAGTACATTGAAATAGCAAAAAAAGGGGAGGGAGGAAGAGACCTAGTCCTTAACTATTCCATGCAATAAGAGTAAGAGAGAGGGATTGAAAAAGCAGTAGAAAAGGTATGAATAAAAATGGCAAAGATTTTCTGAGATTTGAAGTCAGAGTGGGCAAGAAACAGATGCGTGGGGTGAGCTCCTCCTCCTCCTCCTCCTCCTCCTCCATTAATGGCCCTTTCTTCTGCTGCTTCTTGTTCTGGTCTTTGAATGGAATGGAATGGAACTGAACTGAACTGAACTGAACCGAACCGAACCCTCCAAGCAGAAGCAGAAGCAGAAGCAGAAGCAGAAGCAGAGGCAGAGAGAGAAACAAAGGTTGCGATAAAACCGAGGAAGGAGAAGATGTGAATAAACGCCTCAAATTCCGTGCCTTTGAGAAACTCTTCCCTGCGTACATTCTCTCCCTCCAACATCCAACACTAATGATATCCCTTTTCCCTGAATCTTGGTGCCAATTCAATTCCTTTTTATTTTTATTTTGATTACCCGTTTTCCAGATTTTTCTCTCTGTTTATTTGGAAATTCTAGATTCTTGTTCATTCATTTTCGCTCTTTTCCTCTACTTCTCCCAAGATTTCATAATCTTTTTCCACCATTTATGGATTCTCCCTGTTTATTATATAAGCAACGCCTAATTTCCTTCTCTTCCTATTCTCTTTAATCTGGATCCTTTCTTTTTCTGCTGTTTCTTTACAGCCCAATCAACCCAAGAATGTGAAATTCTGTGCCCATGAAGAAAACCCACCCCAAACGACACCGTATTCCCAGGAGAGGACCTGGCGTTGCAGAGCTTGAGAAGATTTTGAAGGAGCAAGAAGGCGGCAACGGCGGCGGCAACGGCGGCCAAGATCAAGCCGACATTTCATCTCTTCCACCATCTTTTTTCCAACATCGCCGCCGACACTCTCCGAGTAATACTCCCTCCTCGTTAAACCCTCCCCGCCCTCCCCCGCCACCGCCTCCTCCTCCACTTCTTCCACCACCGCTCACACGCGATTACGCTTCATGGTCAAATCTTCCGTTGTTCCCAACTCTTGATTTTATTCCCCCGGCCTTGCCAACCCCAACCCCCGCCGCCGCCGCCGCCGCCGCCGAAAAACCCTTGTTTCCAACAACCCGAAAATCCGACGCCCAAATCAATTTGCCTCCACATTTTTTCCCTACTTTTCAATATTCTGCCTCCTCTCACAATCTAATGGTGAGGCAACTTTAAATTTCAAAATCTTCATAAAGCTTTCATTTTTATTTTTTATTTCATATAAATATATTCAATTTATGCAAAAAGTTCCCAACTTTTTTCAGATGAATATCATTCCAGGATCTGCCACATCGCCGGCGACCAGATATTATCGTCAAATAGAGCACCCTTCAAGCCAAATATCAACACAATTCAACCACACATGGACCTCACCGGAGGAACAACAAAAGGCAATTACTTCTCACCTCTTTTTTTTTTTTTTTTTTCTTAATATTTATTTTATTTCTAATCATAGAATTAAAAACTCCAAGCTTATGGTTAAATTTTTTCTCTAAACATCTTTGTTATTAAATACATAATTTTGGCACCTATATTAGGATACAAGAGAATAATGACACTATATTGGCTAATTAACATATCAATCTTTCTAATTTTTTTAGAAAGAAGATTTGATATGATTTGTTCAAGGCTAATTAAGAAAATGCATGAATATTTAAAATATTTAAAGTGAGAAAAAGGGAATAACAATAATAATGATAACAATTCACAGATGGTAAGTGCAAAGAGGGTGAGACCCTTTTTGGATGAAGGCCATAGGGATCCAAATGCTGAGAGCAGAGCTCCATTTTTCACAAACATGGCCACCAAAGAGTCTTCTTCGTCGTCTTCATCGTCGTCCTCTTCTTCCATGGACATGAATCGCTCTCCATTCAATCTCGATTCAAACTCGAGGTACTCTTCTTTCTTTCCATTTCTTTATTATTTTAATTTGAAACAAAATATAATTTCTTCTAGTCTTGTCTTGTTTTTAATGAAAATTTTGGTAGATTTGGTTAATAAAAGTGTTCATAGACACAGCTAGAGTATTAAAAACCAAATATTTTTACAAAATATTGCTCTCTTTTTTGCTTTTTCTTTTTTTCCAAAATATAATGGAAGAAAGTTATTGTTTTGTTAAATCTTTAAATGTTAGTTTAGAACCCAAAAATATTTTGCAAACAGTCATTGAAAATTTTGAAAAAATGATCAAAATTAACACTATATATCTAAATGATTTGTTTTGAATTTGATGTTGATTTTGTGTAAAGAGGTACAAAAAGGGGGTTTGGAGGGGAGTTAATGAGGTGCAGCAAAAGAAGTGAAAGGTACCAGTTAGCAGGAGAAGTCAGCCATTTGATGGCATTGGGATCTTCTTCATCAGCTCCAAATGAAGTTGCAGCAGCATTCAATATCCATCACCCCCAAGTAAGAAACATCCATCCATCCATCTTCATCTTCATCATCATCATGTTCATGTTCATCTTCATAACAAATAATTTTGACTTTTTTTTTTTTTTTTAATTTCATTAATGCCACCTTGGGAAAGCTTTGAATTCCATCCATTAAACCCTAAACTTAATTAGGCAACCAAATTTCAATAAATCCAATCAATCCAACCAATCCAACACCAAAATGTCTAAAATCCAACCAAAAACAAACACCCAACTCATAGCTACAAAATAATGATAAGGAAACTTTTCATTTTATTTTCTTTATACTACGACCAATTTGATGATATTTTTATGAAATTAACATGTGAAGAAATGATTTTGAAGGAAACCATGGAGGCTTCACAGTATAGAGATGAAGGAGGAAGTGCCTCAGATTACAACAAAGTTACATTTAACTCCTCCTCCTCCTCCTTATATGAATCAAAGTCAAAGGGTAACAAAGAAATTGTGATCGGCTCGGCATTCGAAGTCGAAGCCGAAGCGGAAGCGGAAGGCATCGATCTAAATTTGAAGCTGTAATTGCTAGGGGGAGTAGGTTAATGTTTGTTTAGAAGAGAGATTTGGAATCTGTTTGTACCCAAAAAAAATATGCATACATACAAATTAAGGTTTTTAAATTCAAATATTTATTTGTAGTTTTAGTTCTGGAGAGTTACATTTGATTATAATTTAATCTTTCACGGTTTTCAAGGTTCTTTTATACATTTATGTACTCTTAATAAGAATCAATCACTAGATACAAAAGAAAAGTCCATAGAAACACAATCATTAATATATAGATATACTTTAACAAATTGAAATGAAAAAAAAATGAGCATCAAAACTGAAAGAAGAATGATGATATGCATAGATTGCTAGCTATTAATGACTGAAATATTTGATCAATCAATTCATGGTAGCACTGTAGCATGAAATGAAATTAAGAAAAAGGTATGCAAATTGGGAGATAATGTGAGCTTAAAGAACAATGTCGTTAATGTTACATGACTGCAAGCAACGTACGAACAAGTGGAAGCTCCGCAGCTTGAAACCCAATGGAAGACTTCAACCCAATAAACAACTTCGTGTTGTAGAGGGATGATAAAAGTGATGGGCCGAAGCCTGTTAGGCACCCATGAAGGAGATCTGGTTAGCACAACAAGTTTAGAACCCCACATTTAAATGAATTTAAATCTATTTAATCCTAGTTTAAGAGGGTTTAATAAGATTTTAAATTTTAAGAACTATATAGATTTTTAACTTCATCTTCAAATTTCAAACTTGTGACAAAAGTTCAATTTAGATTCATCATCTCCATGTGGGATGATTCTAAAATAAAGGATTTACAACAAAAAAAAGAAAAAAGAAAAAACTTTATTAAGTGTTCTAGGATTGATTAATAAAAAGCTCCAAATGTTTTTTATTCCCAATTTTTGTATATAAAAAAATATATATATATAAGTAATATTTTGAGTATTTTCACCTTTCTATTTTCGTCAAGTGCATCCTACAGACCACAATTTAGCAAAAAAAAAAGAACCAAGAATGAATAGCGTAGCATACCTGCCATTGTTCGCAGCCAGCGTAGGTACGAAGCGAACCACAGCGTTCAGCAACAAAAAGAAAATACAGCCGATTAGATCCATGAGAGCTGTTGTTCAGAGAGTCGTCTCTGCCAGCGTCGAGGTCTCTTATCTCTCCCTCTTTTTCCCGCTCTATGCTTTTCTGAGTCGCCGGTGTGAGATGCTGCATTTCGCAGGTCGATGGCCGCACCGTTTCAGAGATTGGGCCGGGCCTCCTCGTGCTCGTCGGCCTTCATGATTCCGACTCCGAATCCGACGCCGAATACATGTAATCTACTCTTCCATCTCTCTTTTCTATACTAATTCCATGCTCGATGAAAACATCTTTTGTTATCACAAAGCTACTTCCTCCTTTTCAAATTGGGTTTCAGATGCCGTAAGGTCCTAAATATGAGGTTGTTCCCAAATCAGAGTACCGGCAAAGCTTGGGACTTAAACGTAATGATTATATGTACACTCCCTGCTTCCCTATTCCGAAAAACAAAATCTTCGAGATTTGCTTTACCATTTTCCTTGATATTTGTTGCAGGTAATGCAGAAAAACTACGAGGTTCTATTAGGTAAGTGAAACGAGGTTCTCTTCAAACTTTGTTCCTTGACGACTGTGAGTTAGATAGAGTCAATCCACTTATTAACTATACTCGGTGGATGGCAACCAGTTAGTCAGTTTACACTGTATGGAATGTTGAAGGGCAACAAGCCGGACTTTCATGTGGCAATGCCTCCCCAAAGAGCCAAACCCTTCTATGCTTCTGTGGTCGAGAGGTTCGGTAAATACTACACCCCAGATGCGATAAAAGGTAATCTATGCTCTTCTTTCTTCCCCTAATTTCAAGTTCAGTCTCTTCCAAAGAGTGTTCTGAATGTCGTCTATGTTCCCTTCCTGTGGGCAGATGGAGTGTTTGGAGCAGTGATGAAGGTAACCTCACTATGCTCAGTTTTGAATTCCAAGTAAGCTCGCTATTAACTGGATTATAAAGTTCTGATATTTTGGTCACTTATGTTTGAGAAGGTCAATTTGGTGAATGATGGCCCAGTCACAATGCAGATCGACTCCCAACCGTCTAAGTAAGCAACTCAACCAGCTTATGAGCCCTTCTGCCTGCTGCAGGATGTTCTGGAAAATGGTAATTTGACAGTGATTTTCCTAACTTTCATTTCAGGAATATAGTTGAAGCTTCAGAAGGCTCGTAATAGGTTGCTATTGAATTCTACAGTTTAAGATCTGGCAGCGATTCTTTGTCGGCTTACAAGCTGAAGATTTGCTCGATGGGATGACAGAATTCTTTTCATCTAATAAGTGGAAATGTCCTTTCGTTGGTGCTATCTACTAATTTCTACCAGTTGGCCATGGGGGTTGTGTGCTGATTTACTCCTATGACAATATCGAAATTTGTTTCTCGTACCTTTCCATTTCAGAGATCAGAGCAAGCCGCAAAGGCTTTGCTAAGAATCCTTGTGGGGACGTTCAGCGCCCTTGATTGGTTTTAGACCTATTCAATTCTAATCCTCGGTGCTTAAACTTACAAATGTCAGCAAAATCCAGACTCAATAACCAGTATGAACTAATTTACAAGATGCAAATAAATTACATCGTTGTCTTTGTATTCTATGCAAAGACTTTTGGAGGGTGGTTAGCTCACGTAAAATAAACCCGTTATGAAGCATGAAGCAAATATTTTTAATGTATAAAATATCCGTACTCTTGAATGTGCGATGAGCATTGAATATCCTAATCAAGTGGGCGGAGCACATTGGACTAATGCTATATGATCTACTCAACTTAGTTAAGATAAACTCTGAAATGGGAAATTTTCTAACCTGTACATGACACATCTTCATTATGCGAAATATCTCAAAATATTACTTTTCTCTTCATCTACCATTGACTTCGACAAGAGGATCGCTGCTGCTGCTAATAGGTCTTGACATGCATATTATGAGATCTCTGAGAGTAAACATCTCAAGAAGTGATTTCATTCGAGCCCTATGATCTTCTGGAGAGGATTGTTGCAGCTACAAAAATGGCCTCTTTTGCACAGGAGGAAATTTCCAACTGCCTGCGTTATGACATTTATCTTAAGGAAGGGTAGACATGAAGTCGAAAATCTACTTCATAAGATTTTAGTATATGTGATGCAACAAGTCAAGACCCAAGTTAGAAAAATCAACCTACATCCTCGAAAGCCAACTTGAAAATAGATCATGACGTGATGGATTCAATCCTTTTGACTCTGACATTTTGCAGTGAAAAAAAAAAAATGGAAGAAAGGAGAACCTAAATCGCCACTACTAAGATAGCAGTGATGCTAGATATATTTTTCAGAGTTTTCACTCGTGTTAAATGTAACTCCACCTTGTCCCTACCAATTCTGTTGTTTGGACCTTCAGTTTCCAGATTTAACAAGGTTCATGGAGCTCATAGCAATTAAGGTCTCATATAGTTGTTTTAGGACTGATTGTAGTCATCGTCTATAAGGATAAGACAAGAACCAAATTGTCATGACCGAAACTCGTAGTAGCATAGTAATAAGTTTTTCCAGTATCGACAAAAACAGAAATAAACATGTTGAACCACAATGTAAATACAATTAAATTTGAAGTTAAACTACAAATTGACGTTCAGTTGTCACGCTTGCAAGGGTCGTGCATTAGACATGGAGAGACACATGGATAGTGGAATTCCATTCACTTCCAGCGGCAATACCAAAAGATCAGAGGAATGGTTCCTTAATTTGGCAGAAATATGCTGACGTGAAATATAAAGCTTGCCCGTGGGCAGGCAAACGTCTAAGCATAGACATATTGGCCGAGATACACACACACACACACACATATATATATTATGTTTGACAAGTCATAAATAAAATGCAGCCAAATAACATGGAGACAGAAAGACAATGGAATCCGTATAAGATAAAAGATGAGAAACTTACTTGTCCAATTTCCGCAGGCAATTAAAAACTGATATCAAATTCTTGCAAGTTTCCACGACCGAACCGCCCGCCAGTTGTTCTTTGGAATCGGGGAGGCCTTCACCCATTTTCTTAGTGGAGAGCAACAGAAAAGCCTGAAGAATAATGGCCAAACTCAGTAAGGTTCCCGAACTAATTATGGCCTCTACTAACTACTGCCAATAGATTACAAGCTAATACACATAACATACGATAAGACAATCATTTAATCCAGAAGGTGCATGGCAGCAACTATATCTCTTAGTACTGTCTTTCCCACCCCCCTCCCCTCTCTCTTTAATCATAATCATAATGTTGATAAGGAAGATATCTGCTGAAAGGACTATGCTAGGCGTTAAGGTTTAAGAGAGCACATGAAAGCTCTCCAACTAGCCAAAAGATAAAAATAAAAGAGAGCGTATTGCTTTAAGCGTTGGCAATAACTGCCTTAAGGGATGCATGAAGCTGGAATCTTTGCCCAATCCCCAACCATCTCTTCAGTCCACCAAAAATCTAAAAAAGTTTAAAGCCAGAAGTAGGATTTTCAGGGTAGGGACGGTGACCATTTGAAACCAGAAGTTTCCAGGGATGAAGAGCGTATACAAAATAATAAAAAGTACCCCCACTCAAATTTCCCAAAGGTTCAAAGAAGTAGTCATTAAAGAGGCAACCCAAGTTTTCTCAATCAGCTGGCTGCACACTAAACACATCTACGAGGGTAAAGAACCACGGGAAGTGTATTTTTGTACTCTCTAATTTGCACTACAAAGCAATACTCTTCGTAATCAAGAGGCACGAAGGCCTATGCACACATCTATATATGATCTTGTTATCACTTCCTAAAATTTAGTACCAAAAAATTCAGGAAGTTGAATAAAAAACGATGATTATAAATCTATAATGATATGTGAACCTTTAAAATAATCCAACAGATATTTCGCATGAATTGAAAATTGAGAAACTATATAATCTCATTCAAGTACTCATGAAGAACTAGTCAATAGAACATGGATTATCATGTTCCCACAATGGGTCCTTAACAGCTAGCATGAAAAACCTTTTCACCAAGTATTGATGAAATTTATCTCATTTTACAAGCAGAAAGCAACCGACAAGACAAGAAGCTGTCAACATTGTAAATAAGAATTTCAAGCATGCAGCAAAGTCATCAAAGCAACCATTAGCAGCATTGCAGTGGGTCCAATTACAATTGAGTTTGTTATACATGTGACGAGAAGTGAATCACCTGAAAACCATGTGCTAATAAAAGATGAATTGCATGTGCACCAATCTTCTTAGTAATACTTTTAGCACTGGAGCTGTTTGAAATACACTTCAATACTCCAGAGAAAGTTGCATCTTCTGCAGGAACATTAGACCTCCTAGTACGAACAGAAGGCTGCAAATAGCAAAATACATTAATAGCTGTATTGTTTAATATTTTATGTACTGTGTGTGTGTGTGTGTGTGTATGTTGGATAATGCGCCACAGCACCAGTACAATCGAAATTATACTCGGTAATTATTGCAGACACTTAAAGAAATAATTTGGGCTAATATAATCAAATACATCTAAAATAACCAAGTAGGAACATTATTAAGTTACTCTGACGGTGCAGATCAAAGATATACCTTGGAGATGTATTTCCAGAAAAATTGCACGATTATTTCCAGCTTCCATTTTGAGTCCTTGAAGGCCTGCAAACAAAAAATTGCAAGATCATAATACTATTAACACGTTGAAGAACTTGAAGCATAGGACTAAAAATAAGGTGAAAAAGCCTGGACAATTTGTATGCAAACTGACTAGGAAATTCATTAGTAAGAGAAAATAATCATGAAGTTAACAGGGGAAGCATATAGATATTTTTGCTGCGTTGACAAATGAACCTCCAGTCTACACAACCTATGCATGACTCAGAATATCATGCACGGAAAACAAGCTGTATAATGTTTCTTTATCACTTGCCACTATATGGTTCACTCTTACTGATTGGATAAATTAAGAAAAGCATATAGTTCCAAGCAAGAGAAGAATAAAATTTGGGGACGCAACCTGAAGAAATGGTGACAGAATGTTTTTATCATATGTCAATTCATCTTGAATAATCTCTGCGAGCGGGGTTCTGAAATCCCACCAAAAATATTTTTAGAAAATAATCCCTGTTCTAAGAAGAGAGAATATACTGCAGGAAAAAGAAAATAACGAAACTAGTACCTCACACCATCAGCCCTTGTAGTATGACCTAGCATATCCGCATTCTTTTTTGAGGAATCAAGCTCCGTTACCTATGCCAGTTCTCCATTCAGAGCAGTAATAAAGAATAGCAATACTTGGATGACCAAATTGCCAGAATACCTACCATTACCATGAGTTTCAGCGTGGCAGCACATGTTATCCTTCCAAAATGAAGAAACGCAGTGGCCAAAGCAGTATCAATAGCTTCATGTTGTTTCACCATAGAAGTCCCAGAATATGGGACAGCATTGTCATATTCAGCAAGATATTGACCCAACCCACACAGGGTGGTCACACAATCCTTCATTAATCCTTTGTAGTTCATTTTCCTTGAACACTAAAGAAGAAATAGAATTTAAATACAACCAAAATAGGGGCTTCCAGCATGCAAGTTGGTAGACCAAAAAGAAGCTTCCATTGTAAGTGTAATACAATAAAATGGAGAATCGACATGTGAATCATAAATAATAGTGCTACAGCAGGGTGTAAAAATTGTTGACATCATACCAGCATTGTGTTAAGCAAAGACTCCCGTACAGAGCTCCAGATCATGCTTTCTGCATGCGAACAAACTTCTTAATTACCTAGCCTTTTACGAGGGCATGACTTATGGACATAGTAGGTTACCTCTGTACATTTGGTTTCGAGGCACAAAATCTCCTTCAAGGACACTGACAAGGTAATGAAACAATAACATGTTACTTAGGACCTGCAACAAATTTAAGAAAAGTAGTTGGCAACGAGACTAGAGAAATGACTAAAGCTGCTTAAATTTCCAATCATCCCCTTTTTAAGTTATATTATCACTTGCAAGGAAAAAAAAAACTATAGAGTTCATTTTTTAATAACTTATATTCAGGTCCCCCGTGAATTCATAATTGTGGTTGCACTAACTCTTTTCAAAGACAAAGCAAGGAGAAAACCTTGGTATCTGGTGCTTGGAAATTTTCAAAATCGGAGACTTCAGCAAGGCCTTGCAGAAGTAGATGAAAACCCTGCGCACCACAGTAATTTCATTGAAGACTGAATAGTACATGCAGGAAGGATGAATTCCATAAGCATATCAATTCAATACTTCGAAGTTACAGTACATAGTCAACTAGCTCAATCTAAACTTTCTTTCAAACTGAAGAAAAAAATAAAATAAAATAAAAAAACTATATAACAAGCACTTATAAGTTATATCAGGAAACGTGGTGCCATCTAGAGATCATTCAATCAGGCAGACAGTGTTATAAGGGGAGTTTGGAAGGCAAAACTGACAGGGGGATCAATTAGTCCGCCAGTGAGATCATATGCGGTTGCCCTCTCACTATCTGAAATGTCAGTGCCTAGAACAAATGGACTCCAAGCCTACAAAAGAAACACAACAATTACTCGAAAATGAAAACAAAGTATCACGCTTACATGATTTAGAGATTGAACACACAAAAATGTAATGCTAGTAATACCTCCTGAAGCACAACTAATTCATGGGGCATACTGGATTCACTGGCATTAGTCATATACACTCTAGGGAATTCCTGTAGTAAAATAAAAGAGTCAAATTCACACATAATGCAGAGAGAAAGGGAGTTTGCTATGTACAAACCGATATATGGAAAAGGGATAGCTCTGAGTACCAAGTCTAACTCGTTCAAAAGCTGGCAACTTGTTGTAATCAGTTCGAGGGAATTCCCGAACCTCAAGATTTTGAAAATTGCTTCACACATTTTGCTTCGTGACAAAAATTCCATGTAATTACAAGGTCAGGTCAGCATGTTAGAGAAGATTATTAATACAATTCCAATATGTGATTTGAAAGAGGAAGAAGAAGTTTACAATGTCGGGGGCGATTTATTTTCTGGCAAAAGTGAAGCCGCACGAACAGCTTCGAGAAAAGCAATTCCTGATTATGAACATCTTGATCAATGCAACGAAAAGGAAAACGAATAGAAGTAATTTTCTTCCGACTGATACATTAGGGCTTCCAGTGAAAAGAAGGACTTTATTTTCAAATTAAGCACAACTGAAACATACTCCACAAAGGGTATTCACTAAAGAGTCCAGATCATCAGAAGAAAATCGATTGCTCTTCTCAAGTTCCGAGCAGTTTTCAGAGTCCAAACAGAAATGAACAAAACTCAAATTCTAAAATGAAGATCGTACTGTCATCGTCGGCGTCTCGAGTGTGTTTAGTAGCTTCGGATGCGTCGAGAATAGCCAAGGTATTCGCCTCGATCGCCCCTCTAACGCCGCTGCTAGGTTTCTCCATTGCTTTGCCGGCCTCTGGTGGAACTGGTAACAAAAACGATAGCGAAGTTCAAAAGCTAATTCCAAGGAGAGGGCAGACCGGCGGCCTGTGCTGGTAGTTGTCCCGCCAAATTTCCAAGCGGGGAATCCAGAAACCCAGAAATGAAAATGTATGTTTGAAATCTTGTGATTTGATATTAAATGGAAATGGAAAAGAGGCGAACGGTTTAAATCGGTCGAGGAGTGTTCAAAAACCGGTCCAAAACGAAAACCGAACCATGTGGACAGAGAATCGAGCCCGACCGGAGCACTTGCCTGGTTAGAGTTGATTGAGCTGAGTGTAACTGAGTTGCGCATGTGAGACTTAGAACACAAGTGTGCATCAAGTAAGTCCGCTAATTAAAGTTTCTACTTATACGAGCCACATATGGTCAAGTTTCTGACTTCATTTTTTAAAAAAGAAATAAAAATAAGTCTTAAAAAATATTTTGAAATTGATTAAAAATAAAGCAATATTAAATAACCCAAGTCCATGAAAAAGTTGGTAGCAACAACGTACAAATATAGGAAGAAGAGTTACAAACTAATCATACATTTTAAGAAGCTTATAATCATATTAGCAGTCTTTGTACATTTTTAATCTCAAAACAACTGCCGCTGTTCATGGTAAAATGAGTATCTATATATATATTTTCCCCATTCTTCTTATTACTTCTTTTTTATCCCCCTTGTATCTAATAACTTATTCGATTGTTACATCACAACAATAAAATAAAAAATAAAAAAAATTAACCAAAAAAGAAGGAAAAATGAGTAAAGAAAGAAACCAACCACCAAATATTGCAGTTCCGAAATTCTGTTGGGTGAAATTTTTTTAGTGGGGACATGTCAGAGTTTCCTGTCGAGTTTTCTTGTGGTTGTGTCGGGCGGCGGGAACCGAATGAAGGAAGAACCGTCGCCGGTGCGGACTAAATTGGGTAATAACTGAGGTACTGGGGATTCGGAGTGCTGGTCGAAACTAATGAAATTAGTGGAGGCGGCGTTGTAATAATCGACAAGGGTGGCGGGGGAGGGATCTGGGTGGTGGTGGTGGTTGGCGGCGGCGGTTTTGAACTTGATTTCTGATTGGAGGAGGGCGTTGTTAGTGGTGGTGGAGCTGCACTGTCGAGGCTGGGTTTGGTAAAAGACCTTGGAGACAACTACTTCGCCGTCTTTTTCTTCCTCGTTGTTGCCGAGGTGGTATTGGTGCATCACCCAGTTGGTCTTTTCGGGCTTTCTTTGCCGGCCGTAGTTGGTGTAGAGTACAAGGATTTTCTTGAATCCTTTCACGGCGCCTCCGACCATAACGGGTCGGGTTTTGCCCGTCTTGTGCCAACGTGTCTCGTTGCCTTCCTCGTCGGTGTGGACTTTGCGGCGTTTTCTTGTTCCGGTTGTGTACGCCTTCGATGGTCGATGGAAAAAGTGCCGGATTTGCCCGTCTTTTCTTACTCCTGCCCAAGCATCAAACATTTTCTCCACTCAATTTTTATATTTAATAAATCAATTAAGTAGAGATTTATTAGAAGTAAAATAAAAAAAATAAAAAAAAATCAATAATCTATTAACTATGAAAAATTTATGAGCCTACATTCATTTTTAAAGTTAATAAAAAAAAACACCAATTTTGAAATTGAGAGGCTACCTTTATAATTTAATTTTTAAAAAATATATATATATATCTTAATTAAACAAGTGACTTATTTTTATTAACCCACATTTAAGAATTAGAGAGTTTCAAATTTAAAAATTATAAAATCATAATAAATATTTTGAATAGTTTTGAAATGGAAGAAAATAATTAAAAAAAAAAAAAAAAACCAAACATCATAATAAAATTTTAATCTAATTTTTAAATTTTGCTATATTTATAATAATATCCCTAATAAGTTTTAAAATTTTGGATTTGGCATTTAATAAGCCATTAAATTTGTAAAAATTTAGAAGATGGTACGGTACCTGGAAGCTTCTGAGGGTGAGTATAGCAAATCCCATTTTCGCCTTCGAGAGTAGGGATGAACTCATCAATAAGAGGATGAAGCTTACGAGCATCAGAGATGGCCTTAGCCTCTAAGTGCTCGAGAATTTCTTGATCGGTTGGATCAAATTTGACTCCAGCTGGTAGCCCAGGAAGATCATGAATCCCAGCCTTCAATTCAACATCATTTAAATTCATTCAACTAAACCATCAATAACAATAATAATGATGATGATATCAATTTATAGACGTACCTGGTCCTGCAACTGAATGGGATGCCCACAGGATGGGCATCGGAGGGGTGCGGGGAGGACGACGGAGGCTAATTGGTGAAGAGAGGCAGACGACTCGTCGTCGTCTGACCCACTGCACCAACTCATGATCTCTCCGCTGCTCTGTGTTTATTATTGGAAGCTAAGCTAATCCCCCGTCCAACATAAGAACAAAAAGGAGCATATGATTGACTTCCGCTTTGGCTTCGCCTATTATTTGTGTTCTTCAACTTTTAACACCCAACACAACAACCACCTCGTTCAGACATGTCGGAGGAAGGAATTTTCCTTTTTTTTTTTTTTTTTTTTTTTTTTTTTTTTTTTTTTTTTTTTTTTTTTTTTTTTTTTTTT